GATCCAGCACAGAGCAAGAAGGTCTCTGTGTCTCCAGCTTCCAGCTGCTTCCAGCTCAGCCCCTACACGCAACTCTGGCCCCAGCAGACAGGTGAGGGGACTCACTCATCATGAGCACCATCACTTATGAGCACCTATCTGCCCGCGGACTGTCTCGCCAGAGTGGTGCATGCTCTGGTTATCTCCTGCTTGGACTACTGCAATGCGCTCTACGTGGGGGTACCTTTGAAGGTGACCTGGAAACTGCAATTAACCCAGAATGCGGCAGCTAGACTGGTGACTGGGAGCGGCCGCCGAGACCACATAACACCGGTCTTGAAAGTCCTACATTGGCTTCCAGTACGTTTCCGAGCACAATTCAAAGTGTTGGTGCTGACCTTTAAAGCCCTAAACGGCCTCGGTCCAGTATACCTAAAGGAGCGTCTCCACCCCCATTGTTCTTCCCAGACACTGAGGTCCAGCGCCGAGGGCCTTCTGGCGGTTCCCTCCCTGCAAGAAGCCAAGTTACAGGGAACCAGGCAGAGGGCCTTCTCGGTGGTGGCACCCACCCTGTGGAACGCCCTCCCACCAGATGTCAAAGAGAACAACATCTACCAGACTTTTAGAAGACACCTGAAGACAGCCCTGTTCAGGGAAGCTTTTAATGTTTGATGTATTACTGTATTTTAATATTTGGTTGGAAGCTGCCCAGAGTGGCTGGGGAAGCCCAGCCAGATGGGCAGGGTATAAATTATTATTATTATTATTATTATTATTATTATTATTATTACGTCTCCAAGCTCATTATTTTGGGATACTAGAGGACACTTGAGCTGCCAGCTAAGGTTGCTGACCTGTGCACAAATTTGTCTGAGCAGTTCAGCAACCTCCTCTGTTAGATTTTAACCCTTGCTGGGGACAGGATTCCAAGGATTGGAAGGGACTCAGGACATCATCCAGACTGACCCCCTCCAACCCACAAAAGTACATTTAGGATTCTGGGAGCGGGAAGTTCCTGCAGAGACCCCTGCCAGCGAGATGGGAGATGCTGGGAAGCTTTTTGCAGAGGCTCCTGGGAAATTAAAACTCCTGTTCCTGCGATAAACGATCCCTGGACGGTGTCCAAAGAATAGAAAGCCGGTTGCACATTAAAAGGGTTGCATTATTAATGTCGAATTAATGTCACATCCGAAACCACATGCCAATTATATGGAGTTCGACAGCTGGTCGACGTAGATGGGCTCTTGCTCATCTACTTCTGGCAAAAGGTTGAGATTGATTCCCTGGAAAGGGCTTTGATCAATGGATAGAAGATATGGCAACTCTTGCAATGTGTGAACGGATTGCTTTGAGATGCACCACATAGAATCATAGAATCATAGAGTTGGAAGAGACCACAAGGGCCATTGAGTCCAACCCCCTGCCAAGCAGGAAACACCATCAGAGCACTCCTGACATATGGTTGTCAAGCCTCTGCTTAAAGACCTCCAAAGGAGGAGACTCCACCACACTCCTTGGCAGCAAATTCCACTGTCGAACAGCTCTTACTGTCAGGAAGTTCTTCCTAACGTTTAGGTGGAATCTTCTTTCTTGTAGTTTGGATCCATTGCTCCGTGTCCGCTTCTCTGGAGCAGCAGAAAACAACCTTTCTCCCTCCTCTATGTGACATCCTTTTATATATTTGAACATGGCTATCATATCACCCCTTAACCTCCTCTTCTCCAGGCTAAACATGCCCAGCTCCCTTAGCCGTTCCTCATAAGGCATCGTTTCCAGGCCTTTGACCATTTTGGTTGCCCTCCTCTGGACACGTTCCAGTTTGTCAGTGTCCTTCTTGAACTGTGGTGCCCAGAACTGGACACAGTACTCCAGGTGAGGTCTGACCAGAGCAGAATACAGTGGCACTATTACTTCCCTTGATCTAGATGCTATACTCCTACTGATGCAGCCCAGAATTGCATTGGCTTTTAGCTGCCGCGTCACAGTGTTGGCTCATGTCAAGTTTGTGGTCAACCAAGACTCCTAGATCCTTTTCACATGTACTGCTCTCAAGCCAGGTGTCACCCATCTTGTATTTGTGCCTCTTATTTTTTTGCCCAAGTGCAATACTTTACATTTCTCCCTGTTAAAATTCATCTTGTTTGTTTTGGCCCAGTTCTCTAATCTGTCAAGGTCGCTTTGAAGTGTGATCCTGTCCTCTGGGGTGTTAGCCACCCCTCCCAGTTTGGTGTCATCTGCAAATTTGATCAGGATGCCCTTGAGTCCATCATCCAAGTCGTTGATAAAGATGTTGAATAAGACCAGGCCCAAGACAGAACCCTGTGGCACCCCACTAGTCACTCTTCTCCAGGATGAAGAGGAACCATTGATGAGCACCCTTTGGGTTCGGTCAGTCAGCCAGTTACCACCATTTAAGGAGGATGTTGACAAGCTGGAAGGTGTGCAGAGGAGGACAGCCAAGATGATCAAGGGTCTGGAAACCAAGCCTGATGAGGAACGGTTGAAGGAGCCAAGCATGTTTAGCCTGCGAAAGAGGAGATTGAGAGGAGATATGAGAGCCACTGTTTCCGAGCACAATTCAAAGTGTTGGTGCTGACATTTCAAGCCCTAAACAGCGCGGCCCAGTAGACCTGAAGGAGCGTCTCCACCCCCATCGTTCAGCCCGGACACTGAGGTCCAGCTCCGAGGTCCTTCTGGCAGTTCCCTCCCTGCGAGAAGTGAGGTTACAGCGAACCAGGCAGAGGGCCTTCTCGGTGGTGGCGCCCTCCCATCAGATGTCAAGGAAATAAACAACTACAGTGGTACCTCTGGTTGCGAACAGGATCCATTACAGAGGCCCGTTTGCAACATGAAAAGAGCGCAACCTGCAGCAGCGTGACTGCGCACGCGTGGGTTGCGATTCGCCGCTTCTGCGCATGTGCGTGACGTCATTTTGCGCTTCTGCGCATGCGCGATCAGTGAAACCCAGAAGTAACCCTTTCCGGTACTTCTGGGTTGCTGCGGGACGTAACCTGAAAGAACGTAACATGAAGCGGACGTAACATGAGGTATGACTGTATCTGACTTTTAGAAGACATCTGAAGGCAGCCCTGTTTAGGGAAGTTTTAGTGTTTGATGTTTTCCCGTGTTTTTCATATTCTGTTGGGTGCTGGCCAGAGTGGTTGGGGAAACACAGCAAGATGGGCGGGGTATAAATATTATTATTATTATTTACAAATATATCAAGGGCAGCCACATGGAGGATGGAGCAAACCTGTTTTCTCCTGCTCTGGAGGGTAGGATCCAAACCAATGGCTTCAAGTTACGAGAAAGGAGATTCAGACTAAACATCAGGAAAAACTTTCTGACAGTAAAGAGCTATTCCACAGTGGAACAGTCTCCCTTGTGAGGTGGTGGACTCTCCTTCATAAGCAGAGGCTGGAAGCCCCTCTGTCATGGATGCTTTGGTTGAGATTCCTGCATTGCAGAGGGTTAGACTAGATGTCCCTTGGGGTGCCTTCCAACTCTACAATTCTGTGACTGAGTTTGTATACATGCTTAAGGTACATATGAAAGAGGCTCATTTATCATTATATTTTGGGACTGATTCAGCCTCATGTAGCAGCCTTGCTTTAAACTTCCTGGCCATCCCATGATCATATTATAAATTAGTGGAGTTCTAGGTTATAAATCAAGCACTGCTAGGAATGGTTTCTTTCTGCTTTCCAAAGTATTCTTCCCACTAAAAAAAATACAGTGGTACCTTGGTTTACATACGCTTCAGGTTACAGACTCCGCTAACCCAGAAATAGTACCTTGGGTTAAGAATTTTGTTTCAGGATGAAAATAGAAATCGTGTTCTGGCGGTGGGAGGCCCCATTACCTAAAGTGGTGCTTCAGGTTAAGAACAGTTTCAGGTCACGAACGGACCTCCGGAACGAATTAAGTACGTAACCAGAGGTACCACTGTAAATCCAGTTTGGCACAAGCAATTTTTAATTTTTAATCATTTTTTATTAATGTTTATAGAGAAAAACACAAAACGTAGTATCTTCCTCCCTTTTTAAAACCAAACCAATATTTTTATATACATACAATAAAAACAGGAAAGGGGGAGGCAGAGAAATAGAGAAGGAAAAATAAATAAATAAAAAGCGAGAGATAAGATGTTAAAAGAGAAACACAGGGGGGAAAGGTTCAGAAAGTGATGAACTTCCGATTCTTCATCTGTCTGCCAAATAAAATCAATATTCACTTCGTCCAGACCATGGGTAGGCCAACTAAGGCCCGGGGGCCGTATGTGGCCCAATCACCTTCTAAATCTGGCCCGCGGACGGTCCGGGGAATCAGCATGTTTTTACATGAGTAGAATGTGTCCTTTTATTTAAAATGCATCTCTGGGTTATTTGTGGGGCATAGGAATTCGTTCATATCCCCCCCCCAAAAATATAGTCCGGCCCCCCACAAGGTCTGAGGGACAGTGAACCAGCCCCCTGCTGAAAAAGTTTGCTGACCCCTGGGGTCTCCAGACCAATCCAATATAATAACCCACAGAGCCAATTTATAGAAACAAACATCTCCAGTCCTCAAATCCAGATGCAAAGGTTCCATTTTCTTTTTTTACGCAAAAAGTCACAGGTTCAGGATGACTTTTTTCTGATTAAACATGCAGTTTTTTTATTCTGAAATGGTGGCCTGGAGTGGGCGAAAAAAAGTTTGAGCGCCACTGATGCAAACAGACAACGCTGCGCTAAAGTGGACCGAAGTTCTGAATCGTTGTAGAAGGAAGATTCCTGGGTTGCCGGGGGTGGGAAGTGAAATATGGGCTGGGAAATCCTCCTACGAAGGATTTTGACCCCGAGCTGTTTGCCTCTGCTCTGACAGCTGGCGGCAACTGGGTGTCGCGTTTGCAGCGCGCGCCTTTGCAATCTGACTTGAGAGCGCAGCAACTTGCATTCCTAGTCATCTTTGCCCAGAGAGAGAGAGAGAGAGAGAGAGAAAGGGAGAGAGAGAGGCAGGGCAGCCTCTTCTCTACTCTTTCCCCACCCAGGGGCCAGTCTGGGCAGGCCAGTTCGCAGTCCCAGGCACGCCTCTCTGCCTCCACTCCGCTTTGCTGCTGCGCCTCTTTTGCAAACCGAGACAGAAACAAGCGAAGTGTTGGGAAGAAAGAAGCGCAAGCGCGCGCGAGAGAGATAGAAGCCAGCCAAGGAGAAGCGGGTAGAGGGGGTGGGATATTGTATTTCCCGGCGATTCCTCCTCCTCCTGCTGCTGCTGCTTTTATCAGGGAAAGGAACTGAGCATGGAAAAACAAAGAGACCCGGCATCGTGAGATTCTCCCCGCAAAAAGCAGAAACTGTAAGTTTTGGGTAGGTGCGTTTGCAGGTTGCGGAATAGCGCGCGGAAAACGTCTCTGACACACTCCAGCAGCGAGGAGTTCCAGAGATCAGGCACTCCGTGGAAACTTCCACCCTCCTCACACAGAAGTGTTCCCTTTGATCTTATCTGGGTCTTTTCCTTCTCTTTTCCCCCCAGGTTTGTGATAACTGAATCCCCCTGGGATGTCGATCTCTCCCTCTTGCGCTATTTTTAGGTTCCTGTTTTGTCAACCGCCGGTTTTAAATAGGTTGTGACCTGCTAGGGAGATGGGACCCAACACCTAGATCAGTTTGCAGCCTCGAAGACTTAAAAAACACACAATTAAAGGGCCATTTAAAACAATTCTTTTAAAAAAGAAGGTCAGGCAATCAGCCCTTCGTGGTTCAAAGTGGTATATGAACAGGTTTAGAAAAAGCCTTTTGAGTAATTGCAACATAGCTCACATTTTGCACGATAACGTGATTTATTTCATGATGATTCATGGTTTCTTTATGTACAAGTGTGGGTTTGGTGTTTTTTTTTAAAAAAAGGTTGCTGGCTCCTTCCTTTTGAGTAAGCATGAATAAACTCTGGCATTAGGTTCTTGCAAGGGGGGTTGTTACACCATTGTATTCCCCACTCACTACAACCTGCGAGGCTTCCCAGTAGCCTTCATACCTGACCAAGATTTGAACCCAGTGCTTCTGAGTCCAGTGTTGTGTTGGTTGTTAAGTGTGGGTGGGCTAGGAAGCAGAAGTGTGGGTGGACATTAGTTGGAAGGATCCGGCCATTAATAAATCTGAGCAAAAAGTTATTCAACTGTTAGTTATTTGATGAGTCAAATCAAATCCTTTACTAATCTCTGTGGAGCAACTGTGAGGACACAGGCAGACCGTGGAAAAACACATTTAGGAAGAATATATTGTGATTTCTATTATGCTACCTCCCTGTTCAGCTGAGTGTGTTTGTGTTTGCGAGGAGCTGTTGTTTATCCTTTTTACTGTGTTGGGATTTTTTGTCTAGGCTGAGAGTTTAAAATATATTACTTGACCTGCCCAAGTGGCATGGACACCCATAGTTTGCAGGGGGTCAGGGAATTACTGGATGAACCCCAATTCCCCAGATCCCCAACTTTCATGAAGCAAAAAACTTCCTAGTATTTGTGAGCTTGAGATTTGAAGCAATATATACTGACACTGTTATGATCATTTGTATGTGTGCAAAACTAGCTTATTCCTCACTTTCAGAATTTGGTTTCCCCACCCTCCCAAAATTCCTGGGAATACCCATGGCTCTAAGGATGGAGATTCAGACACGGAAATAATATTGCAGCAGCATAGCTGTCAACTTACAGATTTGAAAATAAGGGACCAGCAGCCTCGAAAATAAGGGATCAGCAGCCAAAATAAGGGATCAACAATTACTTTGATAAAATACATATTTTGTTGCGTGCAAATGGCTTTAGATACCTATTAGGTCCATAAATTACCATATAGCATATATTCAACACAAAAAAAGCAACAATTTGTTGTTGACAAAGGACAGCTGGACATAGAAAGGGCCCCATTACCTTCAGTAGCTTATTTAAGAGACATCATCAATAAGGGACAGCAGTGGGACATGGCACTGGAATAAGGGACTGTCCCGCCAAATAAGGGACGCTTGACAGCTATGTGCAGCAGTCCATCAAACACACAACACACAGCCCCTCTAGGCTTTGCCAACTCAGTGCCCTCCAGAAGTTTGGGACTACAACTCCCATCAGCCTCGGCCAGCACAAAACATCTGAAGGGCACCAGGTTGGTTAAGGCTTTGAGGGTCTTTTGTTTTTGTTTTACAGTTGAGGGATGTATAAATTTTATCAATCAAACAAATAAATGAACTCCAGGATGATGCGTTCTCCCACAGGTTTGTCACAAACTGCACATAGACGTCTCCGCAAATTAGTAGTTTCTGCATCCTGCATCAGACAGAAGGAATTCGAGCTAAGCTCTTATTTACTTAGTGTAATGCAAGGTGTTCAATTGGAGCAAGCCTCCTTTAATTCCCTTGTAGCATGCGCTGGAAGCACCACTTGAACTATTAAGCGCACGTTTCCCTGCTTCCCAGAAAGCCACGAGAAATGCAGGCTGCTATGGATGCCAGACAGCAGCATCTAGCTTCTAAAATTTCCGGGTAGGGTAGGGTGAGGCCCCCTTGCCCATGAAACCCTGGATAACCTCTGCCAGTCTGGGTAGACAATACTGAGCTAGGTGGAGCAGCAGCCTGGCTCCTTTTCAATGCAGCTTCCCGTGTATTTAAAGCACAATTGTGTTTTGGAATGTCAAAAACAATTGGCTCTCTGCTTGCAAAATGATCCGATCCAGTTTCGAGCGAGTCTTAACGCCCAGTGGGCAATCAGAATAGGCACAGGTGGCATGTTAGTGACAGGACTGGGAACAAACCTCATCCTCATTGTTATACGCACAGAAAATAGTTATGTTGCTTGCTTTAATAGAAGGATGAAAGGAAGGATCAGATGACTCCATAGAACACATCAACACAAAAACACCCCTTGCTTTGGAAACCTGGGCTTGACCCCCCTAACCTTGTCTTTTCATTTGTTTTATCATTGAAGCGAAACCCGGTTTTGTTCTTGTGAGACGTGAATTTGCTTGGAGTTGTCACGGTGCCGTCAATCTCTTAATTTGTTTGCGGCGCGGGCGAGGGGAGTGTTTGCATAGAAACGAGGATACCCGCAGGAACTGAAATCACTTCTTGCCTAGGACCCACATACCTACAGGACCGCCTCTGCTGGTATGCCCTGCAGAGGACCTTAAGGTCCACAAATGACAACACTTTGGAGGTCCCAAGTCGCAAGGTGGTTAGATTGGTCTCAACTAGGGCCAGGGCCTTTTCGGTACTGGCCCCGACTTGGTGAAATGCTCTGTCACAAGAGACCAGGGCCCTGTGGGACTTGACATCTTTCCGCAGGGCCTGCAAGACAGAGCTGTTCCGCCTGGCCTTTGGTTTGGACTCAGTCTGACCCTTATGTTTCCCTCCCCTTATGGTTTTGATCTATGGCCTACTTTTAAAATGAGGCTGCATTTTAAATTGCATTTTAACCTGTATTTTAAATCCCCCCCATTATGTTTTTACTGTAATTTTACTGGTGTTAGCTGCCCTGAGCCTGGCTCTGGCCGGGGAGGGCAGGGTATAAATAAATTATTATTATTATTAATAATAAATATTAATATTATTATTAACTCCAAAGTGATAAGGAGCTGGCGGCAGAGTGGTGAATGTTTCAGGAGGAAAACATACTCAGGGAAACAGAGGGCCTCCTTGGTGGCCAAACTTTAGTGTGCCCGGATTTGCAAAATATAGTCCCCAGCTGGGGCGTTGCTTTGGCAAGTGAACCCCATGCTCTTTCACTATTCGAAAATGTGCTGGCTGTTGCTCAGATACGACCGGAGCTGGCACCAACGCCTGGCATTTGGGGGCAGCTGTTGGGGCCTCCAGTGCCCCCCCCGCAGGGCACACGGCCATGCCTGTCCTAATCCCACCCACTCCCCTTTAAATTCTTTCCTGGCCCTGCAGTCAGTGCCGGATTAACCCCTCTGGAGGCTCCTATGCAGTTGAAATCTCGGGGTGCCCCTTGCAAATGATCCGCTAATATATATTTTTTGTTTGATCGTTCAAGATCAAATCAATATTACTTTGATCTGTTGCCACAGGACCCCTAAAGGACATGGGTCAGTGCCTACTCTACCTATTTGGTAGGGTGGCGCTGTGGTCTAAACCACTGAGCCTCTTGGGCTTGCCGATCGGAAGGTCGGCGGTTCGAATCCCCGCAACGGAGTGAGCTCCTATTGCTCTGTCCCAGCTCCTGCCAACCTAGCAGTTCGAAAGCACACCAGTGCAAGTAGATAAATAGGTACCGTTGTGGCGGGAAGGTAAATGGTGTTTCCGTGCGCTCTGGTTTCCATCACAGTGTCCCGTTGCGCCAGAAGCGGTTTAGTCCTGCTGGCCACATGACCTGGAAAGCTGTCTGCGGACAAACACCGGCTCCTTAGGCCTGGAAGCGAGATGAGCGCCACAACCCCATAGTCGCCTTTGACTGGACTTAACCATCCAGTGGTCCTTTACCTTACCTTTACCTGCCTATTTCAGCACTGCCTGAATCTGATGGGATTCAAGCCACAGGCCTGATATTTTGGACCACAGCTCACTCCCCCCTGCGTCGGTCCTGAAATCCTTTCCCAGTCCAGTCCTGTAACCCATGAGTCGTAATAACAGTGTTGTGCAGATGTTGCAAAGCAGGGGAGACCTTTGCACCCAAGACACTGCTCTCCTGGTCCCTTTGCTCTCTAAGCAGCTCTGGGCAGCCCCAGCCTGAAAGGGACTTTGCCCCTTTGGCAACCAGCAGCGTCGTAACCTGAAGCAAGACACAATTCAGCTGCTTATTGGAGCACAGCGTCCGAGAGGGCAGACTGAGTTTAGTGGGGCAATCCCCCACTGGCCCTAATGACCCCAATCCACCAGGTAGCAGCATGCCTTTCAGTGCGCGATGCTTGCCATGCTTCCCTACAGACCCTCTCGGGTGCCAAGGTCAGCCAAGGGGGCCCTCTTGGTAGTTCCCCCACCCTCAGAGGCCCAAAGTGATGGTGGCTGTCCAGGAGAGAGACTTCTCTGTGGCCCCTAAACAGTGGAACTCCCTCTCCACAAAGGGGCCCTGGGTACCTTCATTGTACAGCTTTCGGAGGATGTTGAAGACACACCTGGCTTTTGACACTTGAGGTCTACATTTTTAGGACTCACCTGATTTTATTGATTGTAAGATGTTTTAAGTTGTTTTTTAATTTTGTACAGTGGTACCTCGGGTTCCAGACGCTTCAGGTTATAGACTCCGCTAACCCAGAAATAATACCTCAGGTTAAGAACTTTGCTTCAGGATGAGAACAGAAATTGCATGGTGGCGGTGCGGTGGCAGCAGGAGGCCCCATTAGCTAAAGTGGTACCTCAGGTTAAGAACAGTTTCAGGTTAAGAACGGACCTCCAGAACGAATTAAGTTCTTAACCTGAGGTACCACTGTACTTGTTTTACCATAACCTGCCCTGGGACCTTAGGGTAAAGGGATAGATAGATACAGTCGTACCTTGGTTGTCAAACGGAATCTGTTCTGGACGTCCGGACGCCTTCCGAAAACATTCAACAACCAAGGCGTGGCTTCTGATTGGCTGCAGGAGCTTCCTGCATGGAACTGGAAACCGCGGAAGCAGCGTCGGACGTTTGGCTTCCAAAGAACCTTTGCAAACAGGAACACTCACTTCCGGGTTTGCAGCATTCAGGAACCAAAACATTTGACTCCCAAGGCGTTTGGCTTCTGAGGCACAACTGTAAATAGATACATAGATACTTACAGGGCCATCTTAAGCATATCCGCTGCCATGGTTCGAAGATCCCCCCTTTTCCCAGAGTTGTTGACCTTTCCCCAAGCCTCTGTGGGGATCACCCTACTCCTGTGGGGGCTTGGGAGGCAAGCTGCATGCCCACCAGCCATATGGTTGGCAGGGCACAGCTGGTGGGCGTGTAGGGAAAGGGGAGGCCGCTGGCAAAGCCGCACAGCTCCCCCACTCACTGGGGTGCCCCTGAGAGGCCAGCGCCCTGGCGCAACGCGCCAGTAGGCCCAATAGGAAAGACGGCTCTGGATACTTAGATAGATAAACAGGGCTTTCCCCCCCGCCGGAACTCAATTCTAGTACCTCTCAGGTGGGCACCATGGCTATTATAAAAGAATAAGGGAGGCGTTCCGTTTCTCCCAATACTCATATTTCGCAAGCGATCCTCAATAACATAGTACATTTCTGCATGTTACAATCACTCGTTTAATGTTCATTTCTCTTGTTTTTGGTTGGACAATTGGACCTGGGACCTTCTGCAAAATCCAGAGAATTACAGATTGAAGTGCTGGGATAGACATAGTTGGTAGACATAGCTCATAGCACTGAGGCTCTGAATCTCAGGGTAGTGGGTTCGAGAACCACGTTAGGCAAAAGGTTCCTGCATTTCAGGGCGTTGGACTAAATGATCCTCAAGGTCCCTTCCAATTGTATGGCTCATGGTGCGATCCGGCACCTCTTTTTTTATATATATAGAAAAATAGCACACTGGATAGATAGATGATAGATAGATAGATAGATAGACGATAGATTGATAGATAGATAGATAGATGATAGATAGATAGATATAGATAGATGATAGATAGATAGATAGATAGATGATAGATAGATGATAGATAGATAGATATAGATGGATAGATAGATGATAGAGATAGATAGATGATAGATAGATAGATAGATGATAGATGATAGATAGATAGATAGATAGATAGATAGATAGATAGATGATAGATAGATATAGATAGATAGATAGATGATAGAGATAGATAGATAGATAGATAGATAGATAGATAGATAGATAGATGATAGATAGATAGATAGATAGATAGATGATAGATAGATAGATGATAGATAGATAGATAGATAGATATAGATAGATATAGATAGATGATAGATAGATAGATAGATAGATAGATTAGATGATAGATAGACAGACCGAGATGCCTGTCCTAGTCTTCAGATTGGAACAGGCTAGAAATCAAAGGAAATGCAACTCCACTTCCCATTATATAACCCCACCACTAATTCCACGCTAAGCTAATTTCCGTTGATGCCGTCTTCCTCCCTGTTTCCCCTTGAGGTTGTTCTGCCAGGATGAGGAAGGTTTAATAGTTCCTCTCTCAGCCTGGGCAGACTGTCGGAGAAGAGAGAGTGAGAGATCGAGAAAGAGAAGACATTCATTGCTCCTCTTCCCTGGGCGAGGCGGGTGTTAGAATTCCTGCTCTGTGATTGCAGTCATGGGATTTTTGTCTATCACATGACGGTGTATGTTTCGACTCCACAGAGTGGGAAGTGACGGAGACAGGGTGTTTGTGTTATTGTGTTCCATTAAGTTCTTTTTCTCTTTGCTGCCTGATGCTAGAGAGAGAGGGAGCCATGTTGCAGTGCTCCGTGTGTGTTTATAAGTAAATAAAGTAGATTAGCCAAAATGCTGAGTTTCTGAGGTCTGTTACGCAAGCTGCGAAGACTCTGTGGATCCCTAAGTGTGCCGGTGTCGGTGGGCATCGGTCGCTGTGATGTTTGAGCAGAAGAAAGCTTTTGAAGCTCCCGAACGAAAGACCAGGAGGGAGAGAACATGCCAGGGTCCTACTCGAGTGTAGGACAAGCTCCTGACAGCGGGTGAGTTGGGGGGTGGCTGCCCTTTCTCAACGGCACAGAATTAAAATCCTGCTTTCCATTCATAAATGCATAGGCTCCAGTTAAGTCACGGGGCCCAACTCAGAATCAGAAAGGTGTCTTCGCTCTAGGCAAGGAGGTGGGATTATAGTTATCAACTGAGACCCAGCATGGATTTCTCAAACGCAAGTCATGCCCAACAAACCTCATCTCTCTCTTTTTTTAGCAGAGTTACAAGTTTGGTGGATCAGCACAGCTGTCAACTTTTCCCTTTTCTTCCGAGGAATCCTATTCGGAATAAGGGAATTTCCCTTAAAAAAAGGGGAAAGTTGACAGCTATGTGGATCAGGGGAATGCTGTGGGTGTAGTGTATCTACTGAGATTCTATGATCATGAATGCTCAAAAAACAGGTTTTCTGGAGGAGACCTCAGATGCGGGGGGGGGGGAGAGAGAGCGAGGCTTCACACAATTTGCAGTGAATGTGCATTCAGTGGTACCTTGGTTCTCAAACTTAATCCGTTCTGGAAGTCTGTTCCAAAACCAAAGTGTTCCAAAACCAAGGCACGCTTTCCCATAGAATGGATTAATCCGTTCCAGACTTTTAAAAACAACCCCTAAAGCAGCAATTTAACATGGATTTTACTATCTAGCGAGACCATTGATCCATAAAACGAAAGCAGTCATCAATGTACTGCAGTCACACACACAATCAACCAATCAGTAGCTGAACTGGGTTCCACACAGTCACAAAAACAAAACAAAAAGAGATGTAAAAACAAAAACGCAAAATAAATAGCCAAAACAGACAGACCTCAGCGTAACACGCAAAACGGAAGAGTGGCACTCAAATCAGAAGCGTAACACTCAAAATGGAGCACGTTTGGCTTCCGAAAAAGGTTCACAAACAGGAACACTTCCTTCTGGGTTTGCAATGTTTGGGTTCCAAGTTGTTTGAGTACCAAGGCGTTTGAGAACCAAGGTACCACTGTATATATATATTTTGGGGTGAGACAGGAAGCCTTCCGTGCTGATGCCAGTTCCTGCCGCCCAAAGGCATTTCACCCTAACACCATCTGAAAAAGGCTCAAGGCCCAGCAACCAAACTGCGACAACTCAAGCGGCGGGGAGCCGTGTGTGAACTGACCCCCGAGAGAATGATCTGGCAAGCTGAGCTGGCAGAAATCCTTCCAATACCCAGAGACTCAGGGGACAACTCTTTGGGGCGGGGGGACACAACCTGAACAAAATGTTCCATTTAGCCGGACATCAGAACAAATAGTTTACCGACGGAGCGAGTTTGTTTGCTGTGTCTGCACAGAAGCACGGCAGGACTTTTGGCTGCAATGCCTGGCTGGGGTGTGGGGCAGTATTAAGGGTGGAGGGGCAGCACCCCACTATTCTTCCAGACCCCTCTCCCCACAAGCAGCTTCCCTGTCATTGCAAATGAGGGGTGGCCACTGTGAGAACAGGATTCTGGGATAGATGGGCCTTTGGTCTGATCCAGTTACAGAACTCTTTTTCTTCCTCGGTACAGATTTGCGTGCTTAAGTTTCTTATGCACTGGTCTCTTCCCATGTTCATATGTTCTGTAAAAGGGACGGGGTTCAGAGCTGGTGTGTGTCGTTGCGCCATCCAAGTCCTGTTGTTGAGAGAGCAGGGGCTAGGAATCTCCGACAAACACTTGCCTGAGATCAGATTTTGCATATGAAGTCCGACAGTCCAGAGGTCAGGGAATCCAGATGATCACAGAGCCAAGGGTACAGACAGAGAATAATAATAATAATTGTTGTTGATTAGTCGTTTAGTCGTGTCCGACTCTTCGTGACCCCATGGACCAAAGCACGCCAGGCACTCCTGTCTTCCACTGCCTCCTGCAGTTCGGTCAAACTCATGTTTGTAGCTTCGAGAACACTGTCCAACCATCTCGTCCTCTGTCGTCCCCTTCTCCTTGTGCCCTCCATCTTTCCCAGCATCAGGGTCTTTTCCAGGGAGTCTTCTCTTCTCATGAGGTGGCCAAAGTATTGGAGCCTCAGCTTCAGGATCTGTCCTTCCAGCGAGCACTCAGGGCTGATTTCCTTCAGAATGGAGAGGTTTGATCTTCTTGCAGTCCATGGGACTCTCAAGAGTCTCCTCCAGCACCAGAATTCAAAAGCATCCATTCTTCGGCGATCAGCCTTCTTTATGGTCCAGCTCTCACTTCCATACATCACTACTGGGAAAACCATAGCTTTGACTATACAGGCCTTTGTTGGCAAGGTGATGTCTCTGCTAATAATAATAATAATAAATGTATACCCTGCATATCTGGCTGGGTTTCCCCAGCCACTCTAGGTGGCTTCCAACAAAAGATTAAAAATACATTAATATATCAGTCATTAAAAAGCTACCCTAGGCAGGGCTGCCTTCAGATGTCTTCTAAACATCAGATAGTTGTTTATTCCCTTGACATCTGATGGGAGGGCGTTGCAAAGGGCGGGTGCCACCACCGAGAAGACCCTCTGCCTGGTTCCCTGTAACCTCACTTCTCGCAGTGAGGGAACCGCCAGAAGGCCCTCGGAGATGGACCTCAGTGTCCAGGCAGAACGATGGGGGTGGAGATACTCCTTCAGGTATACTGGGCCAAGACTGTTTAGGGCTTTCAGGTCAGCACCAACACTTTGAATTGTGCTTGGAACGTACTGAGAGCCAATGTAGGTCTTTCAGGACCGGTGTTATATGGGCTTGGCGGCCGCTCCCAGTCACCCGTCTAGCTGCCGCATTCTAGCTGCAGTAAGGTAGGGCCAAGAACCACAGGCTTCGTTTCCAGCACCTGACTGTTGCTGAGAACTCTGTTTCAGAAGGCTGGAGTCATCTGATTCCCATTAGTGCCTTCTCATAGAGTTGGAAGGGACCCAAAGGCCATCTAGTCCAACCCCCTGCAGTGCAGAAATCTCAGCTAAAGCATCCATGACAGATGGCCATCCAACCTCTGCTTAAAAACCTCCAAGGAAGGAGAGTCCACAACCTCTGGAGGGTGAAGCCTGATCAGCTGCAGATGGAGTCGCTCTGCCATGCCCCCCTTCAGGCTGGTGTTCAGCAGGTGAAGCTGACCCCTGGCCCATGACTGTGTCCTTCACCAGATGTTGTTGGACTACAACTCCCATCATCCCTGAGCTCAGGCCTTGCTATCTAGGGGTGATGGGAGTTGTAGTCCAACAACATCTGGGAACCCACAGGTTGAGAAAGGCTGCCTTAGGGTCTCTGTACAGTGGTGCCTCGCAAGACGAAATTAATCCGTTCCGCGAGTCTCTTCGTCTTCGTTTTTTCATCTTGCGAAGCACGGCTATTAGCGGCTTAGCGGCTTAGCGGCTATTAACGGCTTAGCGGCTTAGCAGCTTTAAGAAAAAGGAAACAAACTCGCAAGAACTCGCAAGACGTTTCGTCTTGCAAAGCAAGCCCATAGGGAAATTTGTCTTGCGGAACGACTCAAAAAACAGAAAACTCTTTCGTCTAGCGAGTTTTTCGTCTTGCGAGGCATTTGTCTTGCGGGGCACCACTGTATGTGTTTCCGCTTTCTGCAGCAGCGGCCGGTGGTATCTACAGGCTTGGCCCACTTCCATCTCTCAACTCTTCTCCTCGGATCGGCAGCTATTTAAGAGTCTGTCTTGCAGATGGTTTAGCAGGAATCAGAGCAGAGGTCTCCGCATGTGTGCATTGAAGGAGGAGCTGGCGAACATCAAGGACTCAAAACATTTCTAGTTTTCAAGGAACCTTTACGACCTTGTTAAAACCTCAGGGAGGACAAAGGGTGAAAATCAGAATATATTATAGAGCTGTTAGTGGTGGGAACTCGCCCTTCCTGGCAGGCTACATAGGGAAGCTGCCTCAAACTGGTCTATCTAGCTCCATAGTGTCCACACTGACTGGCAGCAACTCTCCAGGATTTTAGATAGGGTTGTCCCCTCCTACTTACCAGACTCAGACCTGCAAAGTGGTAGCTTTGTGTAGCTTCAGACCCATTTTTGTTGTTGTTTAGTCGTTTAGTCGTGTCCGACTCTTCGTGACCTCCTGGACCAGAGCACACCAGGCACTTCTGTCTTCCACTGCCTCTCGCAGTTTGGTCCAACTCATGCTGGTAGCTTCGAGAACACTGTCCAACCATCTCGTCCTCTGTTGTCCCCTTCTCCTTGTGCCCTCCATCTTTCCCAACATCAGGGTCTTTTCCAGGAGTCTTCCTTCTCATGAGGTGGCCAAAGTCTTGGAGCCTCAGCTTCAGGATCTGTCCTTCCAGTGAGCACTCAGGGCTGATTTCCTTCAGAATGGAGAGGTTTGATCTTCTTGCAGTCCACGGGACTCTCAAGAGTCTCCTCCAGCACCAGAATTCGAAAGCACCAATTCTTCGGCTATCATTTTTGAGATTGCATCCCAGTACAGCTTTTGCCACTCTTTTGTTAACTATGAGAGCCACTCCATTTCTTTTACTGGTTTCTTGCCCACAGTACCCTGTTCCTATAGGGACACTGAGGATTTTCTCTCAGAGCTGAAGATAAATGGTGATTTCAGTTTATATCCACCTTTCTTCCAAATACCAACCATTTAAACAAGCATTCTCAAAAGAACCTAAAAACATTCCAAACACAGTTTAAAAACATTCACCCAGTGGTTTCACAGGGTTGCCAGGAACAGTATATTTCAGCCATCAAATGTCTGGGTAAACAGGAATGTTTTAAAATTCCTTCTGTGAGACAGCAAGGAAGGAGGCAGACCCACCTCACAAGGGAGGGCATTTGGGAAACAAGGAGCCACTGCCGAAAAGACCCTGTCGTTGCTCAATACCAGCCAGGCAGCCCACAGTGGTGTCACCACCAGCAAGGCCTTGCCTCTAGTTGCCTTGGCAAACGACAGTTCATAAACAAGATGTGTGTGGTTTGGGAGCTGCACAGTCAGGGAAAAAACAATGGGTTGTAAAGACTGTGGAGAGAATAATTGGGCGCACTCTTCCCACCTTGGATCAAATCTACGCTTTCAGGTGCCATAAGAAAGCTGCAGAGATAGCGCAGGATACTGCGCACCCCGGAAATGATCTCTTTCAGCTTCTGCCTTCTGGAAGAAGGTACAGGGTTATAAAGACTAGGACTAGCCGCCTGATAAACAGTTTCTATCCAAATGCGATTTTGGTTTTAAACACAGTGTAAGGTAGTCTGTATGGGAGTATATTGTATTTACTTATGGGGTATCAGAGTTTTTAGGGGGCTAACCAGGCTGGGATAGCTGGGATAGCAGGCTTGTTGGTTTTGAACGCCTTATGTAGATTTTTTTTTTCCAGTTTTGGGTGGCACTGTGGGTTACACCTCAGAGCCTAGGACTTGCCGTTCAGAAGGTTGGCAGTTCGAATCCCCGCGACGGGGTGAGCTTCCATTGCTCTGTCCCAGCTCCTGCCAACCTAGCAGTTCAAAAGCACGTCAAAGTGCAAGTAGATAAATAGGTACCGCTCTGGCGGGAAGGTAAACGTCCCATCCCCGAATGGATATGTTGGAGACTGAAACCTGGGGCCTTTTGCATGAAAAACACCAGATCATAGAAAGCTGTCTTATATTGAGTCAATTGGTCCATCTAACTCAATATTGTCTACACTGACCCGCAGCAGTTCTCCGGGGTTTTCGGCAGAGGGTCTCTTCCAGCCCCACCTGGAGATACCAAGGAATGAACTGAGACTTTAAGTACATAAGGAGAGTGCTGCAACTGGATCAGGCCAGCAGCCCATCTCTTCCAGCATCCTGTACTCACAGCGGCCGACCACTTCACCCAGATATTCTGCTTCTCAGCCCATTTTAACAATCTTACTAGGGAAATGAAAGAAATAGAACGCTTCCTTTCTGACATTTCCACGCAAGCCGAAACCACTTCTTTATGTGGTCAGCTGCTCTAAGCAGCCGTATCACTTAGAAAATCCACAAATGTCTGCTAAATCGAAATGTTTCCGAAAGCCTTTGTTAAAAGAAAGCATATTAGTAAACTGAAAAGCACCTCTTTTTTCCTGTTGCGCAAAGACATCCATGCGTACTGGCTGCTTTTAAGAGTTTGAAATCTATCAGCTAAATAAAAACAGTCTGAAACATCTAGCAGGTTCCAGTTAACCCCAACCCAACTCTAACCCTAACCCTAAACCTAATCCCAACCCTAATCCCATCTCTAACCCTAACCCTAACCCTAATCCCAACTCTAACCCCAATCCCAACTCTAACCCCAACCCTAACCCTAACCCTAATCCCAACTCTAACCCTAATCCCAACTCTAACCCCAACCCTAACTCTAATCCCAACTCTAACCCCAACCCTAACCCTAATCTCAACTCTAACCCTAATCCCAACTCTAACCCCAACCCTAACCCCAAACCTAATCCCAACTCTAACCCCAATCCCAACTCTAACCCCAACCCCAACCCTAACCCTAATCTCAACTCTAACCCTAATCCCAACTCTAACCCCAACCCTAACCCTAAACCTAATCCCAACTCTAACCCCAATCCCAACTCTAACCCCAACCCTAACCCTAATCCCAACTCTAACCCCAACCCTAACCCTAATCCCAACTCTAACCCCAATCCCAACTCTAACCCCAACCCCAACCCTAACCCTAATCCCAACTCTAACCCCAACCCTAACCCTAATCCCAACTCTAACCCCAATCCCAACTCTAACCCCAACCCTAACCCCAAACCTAATCCCAACTCTAACCCCAATCCCAACTCTAACCCCAACCCTAACCCTAAACCTAATCCCAACTCTAACCCCAATCCCAACTCTAACCCCAACCCCAACCCTAACCCTAATCCCAACTCTAACCCCAACCCTAACCCTAAACCTAATCCCAACTCTAACCCCAATCCCAACTCTAACCCCAATCCCAACTCTAACCCTAATCCCAACCCCAACCCCAGCTATCAGTCATCTGAGAAGTGTTGTGGCTCTGCTGGAAGAGATGTCTTCCTAGGCGCCCTCTCTCTCTCTCTCTCTGCCCTCCTGCGTCTCCAGTCAGGTGACTCATTGCTTTAATAGGTCAAAGTCATCATGCTGTGAAGCGTGGGGTGATTTTATAGGCCGCTCAGGTGTGTGGGAGGAACATCGAGAAAGACAAAGGGTTTTGCGTTTAATGATGGGAAGGAACTTTTCAAAGATAAGAGGCCAATTTAGACAAGACGTTGAAAGGAGGAAGACCAAGTGAAAACGATGCACTTAAGGATTTTGTTTGTTTGTTTTGGAGGGGGCACTTCCAGATTACCTGTTTCTTGAGGAATTCATCCTGATTCCTTTGCAGGGAGATGAGACAAAATTGGCTCTTGAATGAGAATTTGTTCTGCTTTGTTTTCAGGGAGATTAGATGAGAATTCTTTCTGCGTTGTTTTTTTGCAGGGAGTTTAGAAAAGGTTGGCTATTTAGTGAGTTATCCCAATTCATTTGTGGGGCAATTAGGCTATTTGGTTATTCAATGAGCGTTCCGATTTAGGTTAGATGCTGCTGTGTCAAAGCAAATATTGGCTCACACTTTCCGGTGTGTTTTCTGCCAACTTCCTTATTGCTAAAAGCCGGCTCTTCGGGGGCGTGGGGTGCGGGTGGGGAAGTAGGTTTGTGGCACATGACCTCCCAATCAACTCTAATTACACAACCTGAACTTGCCATTATGGGATTGAGGTCACTCCCACACCATGAGTTTCAGGCATGTGGCTTCACACAGAATCCTGGGGACAGTAGTCAGTTAAGGGTGCTAGGAATTAGTTCTGTGATGGGTGAACTATAGTTCCTGAGGTTCATTGCAGGAAGCCATGGCTCTTAAAATGGCATAAATGTGCATTAAATGTGGAGTCAGTAAAGGTAAAGGGACCCCTGACTGTTAGGTCCAGTTGTGGACGACTCTGGAGTTGCGGTGCTCATCTCACTCTATAGGCAAAGGGAGCCAGCGTACACCCTCCGGGTCATGTGGCCAGCATGACTAAGCCGCACACGGAAACGCCGTTTACCTTCCCGCTGGAGTGGTACCTATTTATCTACTTGCACTTTGACGTGCTTTGGAACTGCTAGGTGGGCAGGAGCAGGGACCGAGCAATGGGAGCTCACCCCGTCGCAGGGATTCGAACCACAGACCTTCTGATCGGCAAGTCCTAGGCTCTGTGGTTTAACCCACAGCACGACCCGCGTCCCTGAAATGTGGAGTTATCCCGCTCCAAAATAGCAATAGTGCTGAAGTGCTCTGTGTTTCGTTTTTAATGAAGAAAGGGAACATGCTGAACATCCCATGTATAAAACAGGAACAAAATGTTGCAGTATGACAAGCTTCTGTTCATTGTTTCTTCTTCTCCCCCGCTTTTTATAATTCTTTTTTATTCAGTTTTACTCTATACATTTAAATTCAGGCATTAATCATAATCATCAACATTCATGATTCCCTGAATCCTTGAACTTCCTTGCAATGTTTCCATTTCAAACTTTTTTCTACTCCATCATATATTTTCTCTATTTTCTTAAAATAATCCATTTCCTCCAATCCATTAAAAACTAAGGTTTTTAATACATCACAAGCGTCACTCAAATCCTGCCATAGTTTTAAGTTGTTTACAGTATTATCTTAAGTAAATTGTAATTTTTTCCCCATCCCTTATTAAAGTTTCTGTCTTCTTGGTTTCTGATTTTCCTGGTCATTTTTGCCATTTCGGCGTAGTCCATCATCTTCATCAGCCATTCGTCTCTGGTCGGGACTTTAAAGTCCCTGTTCACTGTTTCAGCCAGCCAGATGTGCCTTCTTCCAAGATATTCCATCATGTTCCCCTCTCCCCATTTTCCACTCCTCCCTTCAAAAGGAGAAATTCAGTATTCCGTGACCAAGGAGCATGGGTAGGCAAACTAAGGCCCGATCGGTGAATCTGGCCCAATCGCCTTCTCTATCCGGCCCACGGATGGTCCGGGAATCAGTGTGTTTTTACATGAGTAGAATGTGTCCTTTTATTTAAAATGCATCTCTGGGTTATTTGTGGGGCATAGGAATTCGTTCACCCCCCACCAAAATATAGTCCGACCCCCACAAGGTCTGAGGGACAGTGGACCGGCCCCCTGCTGAAAAAGTTTGCTGACCCCTGGTCAAAAAGCATGGGCTCCTTTGGGTATCCTTTGCCCTCTTTTAGGTTTGCTTTTCCCCTAAAGATTTTGTGAACTTCTGCAAACTTTGGGGTTCCCCCTGCCCACCTGCAGATCGCTAGCTCCCTCTTGTGGGTGGTGCGTTTGGGGCGCCTAAGAACAGGCGCTCAAGAGAACCGAGAGAGTTATTAGTTTAGATGCGATGATAAGACGATAAGAGAATGGAAAAGTGAAGGAGAAGAAGGATCGGAGCCAAAAATGCAAAACCTAACGAGTGTGGAAAGAGCAAAGGACATGAGATTAAGTGTACGGTAGATGAAAATTTAAAGGAACAAAGATAAGAAACTGATTTGCTGTGTCAACGCGATATTCGTCTCTCTGTTGTATACCACTCTCCCACAAAACTGCGTCCACAATTGTGGCTCGTGGCAGATCAAATGCGCAATAGCAATCCAGAAAAACGTATCAGAAACCATTAGGAATAAACATAATGTTAATAAGCAAATGTAAGCCATCCGGCCCCCTATAGCAAAAGAAACTAGCCTAATTTGACAGCTTAAGAGTAAAAGGAATACAGTGGACACTCGGGTTGCAAACGTGATCCGTGCAGGAGGCACGTTCGCAACCTACAGCGTTCGCAACCCACAGTGCCATGTCTGCACACGTGCAGGTTGTGATTCGGCTCTTCTGCGCATGCGCAAAGCGTGATTTAGCGCTTCTGAGCATGCGTGAGCACCAAAACCTGGAAGTAACCCATTCTGGTACTTCTGGGTTTTGGCGCATCCGTAACCCGAAAACGTGCAACCTGAAGTGTCTGTAACCCGAGGTATGACTGTAATGCAGAAATAAAATAGTGGCATACAAACTTCACCATGTTGCAGAGGATGTATCCAAAAATTTGGATTGGAGACTCGATCGTCAAACATCCAGGCACCCCAGCTGGAGAAGGGCAGACAGTCCCTTCCCGGTTTTCCTTCAGAGCCAGTGCGGGATTTACGTATAAGCTAAACAAGCTATAGCTTAGGGCCCCACTCTCTTGGGGGCCCCCCAAAAATTTCACTATTAATATATTTCTTCTCAATTGTCTTTCAGTTCAACAATTACTTTGATAAAAATACATATTTTGTTATGTGCAAAAGGCTGCTAGCCTGCTCCCTAAAATATCGCTGGTTTGCTCATTTCTATATACAGTGGTACCTCAGATTACAGACGCTTCAGGTTACAGACTCCGCTAACCCAGAAATAGTACCTCGGGCTAAGAACTTTGCTTCAGGATGAGAACAGAAATCGTGCGGCGGCAGCGGGAGGCCCCATTAGCTAAAGTGCTACTTCAGGTTAAGAACAGTTTCAAGTTAAGAACAGACCTCCAGAACGAATTAAGTTCTTAACCCGAGGTACCACTATATAGGGTGCCTACATTCTGCATAGACGGGTTGCATGGCAACATGTGCAAAAATGGCTTTAGATACCTATTAGGTCCATAAATTGCCATAGAGCATATATTCAACACAGAAAACAGCGACAATTTGTTGATGACAAAGGCCATATAAAGGGCCCCATTACCTTCAGTAGCTTAGGGCCTCATCAAACCTAAATCCGGCCCTGCTCAGAGGGGCCTTGCACCCACCATTATTGGGGTCTCTCACCCCACACGGCAGCCACAACATTCTTTCCCCCCTCTTCCACTAAGCAATATGTATTCCTCCTTCTGAGAGCCATGCGCAAAGCCTCAGAGCCTCACTCCCAAAGTGCTGACTCCCCAAAGGAGCAAGTTCACCACAGGGCCTCTGCTGTTTACTCTCCACATCTGGCACGCAGAGGCAGACAATCCGTGTACATGGGTGTTCCTCTTCCTTTATTATATTGATATATCACATCACACACCCCAAAGTGATTTGCAGGACAGTAAAAGACGGAGATACGCCGTGCAGTGGGAAGTTCACACACCTATAGACATACAAAAAGCGTTCGTCGAAAAATAAATAAATGAATCACTTAGAAACGCAAAGTCTCTGCCCACAACAGAAAACAAAAGTGAACCCCGACAGCTGCCAAAAGGTCAATTGTTAGTGCTGTCCAGAAAACCCAGGAGAGTCAAAGCATCTTTCCCTAATGCTGAAAGAAGATAGAGGAAGGTCTGGCAGAGAGTGTTCCATAGATGAGAGGCTAATAATCATAATAATCATAATTTTATTATTTATACCCCGCCCATCTGGCTGGGCTTCCCCAGCCACTATGGGCAGCTTCCAACAAAATATAAAAATGCAGTAATGCATCAAACATTAAAAGCTTCCCTAAACAGGGCTGCCTTCAGATATCTTCTAAAAGTCTGGTAGTTGTTGTTCTCTTTGACATCTGGTGGGAGGGCGTTCCACAGGGCGGGTGTCACCACCGAGAAGGCCCTCTGCCTGGTTCCCTGTAACCTGGCTTCTCACATTGAGGAAACCGCCAGAAGGCCCTTGGCACTGGACCTCAGTGGGTAGAACAGTGTCCAGGTAATGCCCAACTCATTGCTGTCATTGGTGGTGATCATTGATGGGCCAACATGCCTGTCTCAGTTTCTTCTCAGTTTCCAGTTTTTTCAGACCCTAGATTCATCTTAAAGGAGATGATCTTAACCGAGATTCTGACTAAACATCAGGAAAAACTTTTTGGCAATAAAAGCTGTTTGACGGTGAAACAGACTCCCTCTGGAGGTGTTGGACACTCCTTCCTTGGAGGTTTCTAAGCAGAGGTTAGATGGCCATCTGTCATGGATGCTGTTATGCATTGAAGTTCTCACCCTGGCCACCAGGAGTATCGTGTAGATAGTTTTCACTCAGGTCCACGTCAGTTACCCTAGGCAGGAAACACTGGGTTGTTGTTGCTACAGTGTTGACAGCCGGCTGCCTATAAAAGCAGGCCAACTGAGCTGTTTGCTGTTCAGTGCTGTTCCAGCTTACAAATAAAGAGCTGCTTTGGAGAAATCGCTGCGTCATCTGCTATGTCTACCCACTATTCAACAGATGCTTTAGTTGAGATTCCTTCATTGCAGGGGGTTGGACTAGATGACCCTCGGGTCCCTTCCAACTCTACAATTCTATGATTTGCTTCTCCGCATTGCTACATCAGTTTGTGGTTTCGTTTTATTTATTAAAAAGTCTCCATGAAACTTTGTCAGCATTTCTCCTACTACAGAAAATTCATGTGCAACTTTTCCCCTGATATGCACATTTTTTGCAAAGCAGTTTTCCTGATATAACACATTTTGGTATGTTATTTTCACCAACTATGTAGTAATATGGACACTTTAGCCTAGTGCATGTATTCCAGTACACATCACTCGGCTGAAAAACAGTCTTGCAAAATTCAGAGAAGTATACTATAATGAGTATGGGGTTGCTCGTGCGTAAGTTTCCGCCTCTCCTGGCTATGTTGCCTTGTTAAACCTTTCTGTCTGGACAGCCCTTCAATTCGTGGCTGCCTCAGTCGCTAGCAGAATCCGTCAGTGGGCGTTTCTTAAACCTCTTCCAACATAAAAGTTGTTTGACGCCCAGTCTCCTCCTACTCTCCCTGCATGGAAGTCTTCTGCGCAGGGAGGGCGTGGGTAGCGGAGGACCAGTGCTCTCCCCTCTGGTGTCCAGTGAAGAGTCCTGGAGCCCTCTCGCCGATTCCCCCATCTGCCCCCCTTTATCCCTGGTGTAACGTTGATTTGCTTCCCCCTCTGCTGAACTGCCTCTCTCCCTGCTTGGCCCTTCTCTAGCATCATTTGAGAGCCTTCCCTCCGCCTCAGGCTCCGATGTCAGTTCCCTGACATATACATTTCTGGATATGCCTGTGTTTTGGTTTGTTTATTGTTCCAGAAAGTGTGAGTTAGTTAGGATCATCTCTAAGTGTGACCTGAATTGAAGTCTTCCCTGCCTCTGTTAGGAATCCATAAGCGGCTGCAACAGGTCCTGCCAACATCTCGGAGCCTTTTCAGCTGAGTGAGGGGGCTGCATGCTGGAGCCTGGGGATCTGAATTCTCAGCCCCTATGATGTTGCAGTTCAGCCTAGGATGGTAGATGTGATTTTGTACTCCAGACTTGGCTGCAGAACTGCGTCGCAAAATTCAGAGCAGTGCGAATTTCAAAAGAGAGCTGTGTTTCAGTTCACAAATTTGGCATGTTCGCCGTTCGACACAAACTGATTTGGATCTCCCCCTCATCTCTAGTGATTGTTCAATCTACCATGAGTTTGTCTAAGAAGAAAACACACCAAGAACTCTGGCCAATGTAAGTTTCAACTAATTCGCAAATCAGTAGTCAATTGTAACAAAAACTAATCCATTCAAAAGCATGTGTTCTGACAAGGATTACAAACTCAAACAGAGATTACAAACTCAAACTTATAAGGATATGTTTAACACAATAATTTGTTACAGTATTAAAAACAAGAGTTTATGAGTAGAGATAAGTTCAAGTTAGTCCATAGTCAGATTTGACGTGAAGATCTTAGTTTCAATCATTGAGCAGAAGTCAGAAGTCAATTATGGATCAGAAACCAGGACAGGGCCCGGTTCCGATGTATTCATCTTCATCAGCTAATTTTTAAGGGGTCGTGTAAGTTTGAAGAATTCGTATAAATATATCCTGTTATTTTCTACGTTTCTCAGAGATAACAACTAAGTGTGGGTAGATCAACGTGTATCTTGAGCTTTTCTTAAAGAAAATAGGAAGGAAGGAAGGAAGGAAGGAAGGAAGGAAGGAAGGAAGGAAAGCTATCTGAGCCGCATCCTGGAATTGTAAATTCACGAAGGGAGGAGAACAGTCATGGCTTTCAAAGTTAGGAAGCTAATGTTCACAAAATCAGGAAAGAGACCAGTGGGGTTGAAGGGTGACAAGGAAAGGTGTCTTCAAAGCTCTGAAGCAAAGGAACGAAACACTGAACAGGAAGCAAAGTGTTAAGCTTGGGGGAAAGGAAGGAGAGGGTTGTAATTCCTTTCAAGATGCCAAATCTGCCCTTGGTGTTGTGATGCATGTTGTACGGTGGGCCTTTCGAGCACAGAGAATCAAAGGAAGGCAGAGGCCGAAGCGATGCTTAGACCGTAACAGAAGGACGTCAGAAGAGCCTGGCAGCAGGATGAGGCCAAGCCCCCACTGGTCCAGCATCTCGTAGGGCCCTCGTATTTACGGGACCGCCTCTCCTGGTCTGCCCCGCAGAGGACTTAAGGTCCATGAATATCCCTAGTTTAGAGGTCCCGGGCCCTAAGGAAGTCAGACTATCCTCCAACGGGGCCAAGCAGCATAAAATACAGTATAAAAACATGAATAACAATAAAATTCAAGAATCAAAAATCAATTAGATAATCCCCAGGGCTAGCTGGCTGAATTGGTCCTACTTGGGCCAGCGAGGAGGCCAGGGGAGAATTAGCTGTGGGGTCTCAGAGTGGGTGATCTTCATAAAAGGGGAGGGGGAGGGAAGAGAAGGGAAATAAAAGATCAGGCTGAATTCAAATTAAAGGCCAGGCGGAATAGCTCTGTCTTACAGGCCCAACAGGAGGGGGTTAAATCCTGAAGGGCCCTAATCTCATGGGACAGAGCATTCCACCAGGTCGGAGCCATCACTGAGAAGGCCCTGGCCCTGGTGGAGGATAGTCTGGCTTCCTTAGGCCCCAGGACCTCTAAACTATGGTTATTCATGGACGTTAAGGTCCTCTGTGGGGCATACCAGTAGAGGTGGTCCCATAAATACGAGGGCCCTTCATTTGATGAAGTGAAGGGTCATGAGGGCCAACCAAAGGGCCAACCAAATTTGTTAACCTTTTTTTAGGATTGATGTTATTGAGGGGTTTTTTAGGATTTTACCCCAGGAAATAAACTGCCACAGGGGCTGGGTTAAACTGTCTTTGGACATGTCTGGTCTAGCACCTAAAGGTGTATAATGAAGGCACCAGGCAAGCCTTCCCGGGGAGAGCATCACACAACTGGGGAGCCGCTGCAGAAAAGGCCCTGTTCTCGTGTTGCCACCCTGAGGACCCTCGTGGAGGAGGCACACGAAGAAGGGAAGAGGGGTTGATCATTAAATCGTAGTGCTTTCTAGTGCAAGATGGGGCCTTAGTTCCTTACAAGCTAAGTAAAAAACCCCCCACAAGAGACGAGTATCGGGCTTCCTGCTTGCGAACAGAGAGGCATTTGCAGCCACTGGCATCTGTGTGACCCTGTCGCTCTTTGCAAACTTGCCAGCGCAAGGCAGATTCGCTTAGTGCATCACACACGCACAACCTTCCTGCTTCCCTGGCACATTTTTGTCTGCCCACACCAGACTCCGCAAGAAGGTCACTGTGTTCCAGCTTCTTTGCTCTGGGCGCCTGTGGATATTCCACCAAGGTCCCCAAGGAAACAGGATTTGCTTCCCAGGATTCGCAGGAATGCAGATCTAAAAGCTGGTCCAATACCAGCCCAAGAGACGCTATAAATTCACAGTACAGCAGCAGGGCAGTTTGTGGATTTAAGATGTCTGGCAGGGTTGGCTGCACATGCCCGAAAACAACATTTGCTGTTGCCATGCGGGCGGGACTCCCTGGCTCTGACATTTAGAGAGTGTGTGGGGTTTCTTAGATTTCTCCCTCTTTGCCCTGGCTTTCCTGCCCCATATAACCTGGTGCCCTGCAGTTTGTTGTCATTAGTAGCCAATTTGTAGAAATCTGAAAATCAATTAGAAAAGATTTGGCACACTGATGGACTTTTTGGAGCTGGCCGACCTGACTGGAAGAATCCGTGACCAGAAAGAAGGGGAGACACAAGAGGACTGGATGAAATTTAAAGAATATTTAGCTAAATATTGTGGTATAAGATAATAGAAAATCCTTGAAAGTATCAAATAGGCTTAGGGGCAGAATAGGAATAGGTGCTAGTAAGTATTAAAGATTAGAATAATAGTAAAGGAGAAGAGGTTAGTAAATGAAAGGAGTTAATATCATTAGAAATATGAATTTGGAGATCTGTTATAAAAGTGATATAATGAAATTCAGACAGAGGGGATTCGAGGAATTCACCTATTAATGTGAAAAAAGTTGGGTATTAGAAGGAATAATCTTTTTTGTATGTGTTTAGTTTATTGCTGTGTTTTCTTTGTTGAGTCTTTTTATGTTTTTATGTGATGTTTTAAATGTTGAAAATCAATAAAAAAAATTTGAAGAGAAAAAGAAGATGAAAAGATTTGGCACAAAGAAAACCTGGTGCCTTTTGGACCACAACTCCCATCATCCCTTAACTTCAGCCACACTGGCTGGAGCTTATGGGAGTTGTAGTCCCAAACAGCTGGAAGGCACCATCATGGAGGAAGGCTGCCCTGAATCCTGGGAAATCCAACCAGACTCTGTGAAAAAAACAAGTCCCCAGGTGTCCATTGTTCAGCAATGGTCAAATAGCTCATATTCAGTCACAGACTTGCTTCCCACATAGCACTAAGCCCTGGTTTGTTAAACCATGGTTTGTTTGCTAACCTGAACCCTGCCCAGTGGCTTAACTATGGTTGATTTACTGCCAACAAACCACAATCTGAAACCGTGGTTTGTTGTTGGCTTTCAAATCTCAGTTGTTTTAACTGCAACTTAGCGTTACATGCAAACCCAGCAGCCTTCCTTAACCATGGTTGGTTTGGCCACCCAAAACCTGACGCTCAACAGGATACAAAGGCACAAGTTGAGAGCAGCTGGAAGACAAACCAAGATTTTGGAGGAGGAGGCCATGGTTTGTTCAGTCATCTGTGAGACAACTGGTGCTTGACCCTGTGCGTATTAAACAAACCGTGGCTTCTTAGACAAACCATGGTTTATTGATACTAGCAAACCAGGCCCTTCATCACTCGGAAGAAATGTGATCTCCTCACATCAAGGAATGTTCTTGAAGCATTTGTGTTATGGTTTTATGGGTTACAAAATCTGACTGTAATAACAGCAAGACTTCGAACAGGGAGCCCCAAACTTTTTTCAAATAGGGCCAGATTTGATGAAGTGAACATGCTTGTTGAGCCTTTTTTTAGGGTGGAAGTTGTTGACCTTTTTTTTAGGATTTGACCCCAATAAATAAACTGCCACAGGGGGCCGGATTAGGCCCCCCAAACGGACTTTGGACATGCCTGACTTTGTTGTTTAGTCATTTATTTAGTCGTGTCCAACTCTTTGTGACCCCATGGACCACAGCATGCCAGGCCCTCCTGTCTTCCACTGCCTCCCGCAGTGCCTCCTGTTTGGTCAAACTCATGCTGGTAGCTTCGAGAACATTGACCAACCATCTCGTCCTCTGTCGTCCCCTTCTCTTTGTGCCCTCCATCTTTCCCAACATCAGGGTCTTCTCCAGGGAATCTTCTCTTCTCATGAGGTGGCCAAAGTATTGGAGCCTCAGCTTCAGGATCTGTCCTTCCAGTGAGCACTCAGGGCTGATTTCCTTCAGAATGGATAGGTTTGATCTTCTTGCAGTCCATGGGACTCTCAAGAGTCTCCTCCAGCACCAGAATTCGAAAGATCCATTCTTCGGCGATCAGCCTTCTTTATGGTCCAGCTCTCACTTCCATACATCACTACTGGGAAAATAATAATAATAATAATAATAATAATAATAATAAAATTTTATTTATACCCCGCCCTCCCTGGCCAGAGCCAATTTAAAATACAGGTTAAGATGCAATTTAAAATGCAGCCTTATTTTAAAGTAGCCAATAAATCAAGATCATAAGGGGAGGAAAACATAAGGGTCAGACTGAGTCCAGACCAAAGGCCAGGTGGAACAGCTCTGTCTTGCAGGCCCTGCGGAAAGATGTCAAGTCCCGCAGGGCCCTGGTCTCTCGTGACAGAGCGTTCCACCAAGTCGGGGCCAGTACTGAAAAGGCCCTAGTTGCGACCAATCTAATAACCTTGCGACTTGGGACCTCCAAAATGTTGTCATTTGTGGACCTTAAGGTCCTCCACGGGGCATACCAGGAGAGACGGTCCTGTAGGTACGTGGGTCCTAGGCCACATAGGGCTTTAAAGGTCAAAACCAGCACCTTAAACCCGACCCTGTACTCCACTGGGAGCCTATACAACTAACGCAAGTTAGGAAGGATATTAATAAACAATATATCCTCTCCTGCCTCCCTGAACATTCCCACAGCCCTCTCCCTGCCAGCTGGAAGGAAGCTTGGCAAACCTGGAGATTTCAGGTCAAGGCTGGATATCTGGGAACCTGAGTCTTTTCTTACATGCTGGGCAGAAAACTAACACCCTCTAACCTCATACTGAGCATTCAACAGCTGTTTGATCTGCAGAAACCAGCAGGCGATTCATTTGGAACAAAACATCACCTTCTGCAACCCCAGAATCATAGTGTGTTAGAGCTGGAAGGGACCACAAGGGTCATCTAGTCCAGCCCCTCCCCTGCAGAGAGAATAATTGGGTGCACTCTTCCCACCTTGGGTCAAACCTGCGCTTCCAGGTGCCATAAGAAAGCTGCAGAGATAGTGCAGGATAGTGCGCACCCCGGAAATGATCTTTTTCAGCTTCTGCTGTCTGGAAGAAGGTCCAGGGTTATAAAGGACTAGCCGCCTGAGAAACAGTTTCTATCCAAATGCGATTTTGGTTTTAAACGCAGTGTAAGGTAGTCTCTGGGACGCGGGTGGTGCTGTGGGTTAAACTACAGAGCCTAGGACTTGCCGATCAGAAGGTCGGCGGTTTGAATCCCCGTGATGGGGTGAGCTCCCGTTGCTCGGTCCCTGCTCCTGCCAACCTAGCAGTTCAAAAACACGTCAAAGTGCAAGTAGATAAATAGGTACCACTCCAGCAGGAAGGTAAACGGCGTTTCCGTGCGCTGCTCTGGTTCGCCAGAAGTGGCTTAGTCATGCTGGCCACATGACCCGGAAGCTGTACGCCGGCTCCCTCGGCCAATAAAGCGAGATGAGCGCCGCAACCCCAGAGTCGGCCACGACTGGACCTAATGGTCAGGGGTCCCTTTACCTTTACCTAAGGTAGTTTCTATGGGAGTATATTGTATTTAATTGTGGGGTATCAGAGTTTTTAGGGTGTCAACCAAACTGGGATAGCAGGCTTGTTGGTTTTTGAATGTCTGATGTAGATTTTTTAAATTTCGTTGTTCTGTATGGGACAATGGCAATAAAGATTATTGTATCGTATTGCCGGAACCTTTTGCCCAATGTGGGGCTCAGACCCACGGCCCTGACATTAAAAGTATCATGCTCTCGTGACCGAGCTATCTTAGGTTCTATGTGTCTGGAAAGTTTGAAGGTTGAATGTACTCAAGTGTAATGTGGTGCTAAACCAGGGCAAAAAAATAATAATTTCGCATATATGCTCATGGGGTTTGGACTGGCTGGGAGTGACTAGGAACAAAACCTTGGGGTCATAACATGAAGATGTGTGGCAGCTATGAGAAAGGCAGATTCCATGCTAGGGAAGATTAGGGAAGGAAAGGAAGATGAAGGTGCTGATACCATGATGCTGTTACGCAAATCTATGGTGCGACCACATTTGGAGCGCTCTGTTGAGTTCTGGTTGCTTCACCTCAAAAAAGGATATTGCAGAGTTGGAAGTTGAGGGAAAGGGCAAGAAATGATCAAAGGAATGGAGCAATTCCCCTATGAGGAAAGATTGCAGCATTTTAGGGTTTTCTAATTTAAAGAATCCAGTAGTGATGTATGGAAGTGAGAGCTGGACCATAAAAAAGGCTGATCGCCAAAGAATTGATGCTTTTGAATTCTGGTGCTGGAGGAGACTCTTGAGAGTCCCATGGACTGCAAGAAGATCAAACCTCTCCATTCTGAAGGAAATCAGCCCTGAGTGCTCACTGGAAGGACAGATCGTGAAGCTGAGGCTCCAATACTTTGGCCACCTCATGAGAAGAGAAGACTCCCTGGAAAAGACCCTGATGTTGGGAAAGATGGAGGGCACAAGGAGAAGGGGACGACAGAGGACGAGATGGTGGGACTGTGTTCTCAAAGCTACCAGCATGAGTTTGACCAAACTGCGGGAGGCAGTGGAAGACAGGAGTGCCTGGCATGCTCTGGTCCATGGGGTCACGAAGAGTCGGACACGACTAAACAACAACAACAACATTGGACTACAACTCCCATCATCCCACGAGCATCGGCTACGGTGGCTGGGAGTGGTGGGACTTGTAGTCAAAAACGTCTTGAGGACACCAGGTTTGGGGAAGGTTGCCTTTGTGCCCATGGCGGGATAGGGGGCAGCCTGGCTTTGCCTGACGCGGGCTTCTTTCTCTCCGCCTCGCGGGTTATTTGAGACTGGCAGGATTTCAAGAATCCCATGCCTGGGCACGAAGCGCTCGCTCGCAAAGGGCATTTGGAGAGAAGAAAGGCGAGGGAGGAGGCCGGTTCTCGGAACTGAGAGCTTCTCCCTGCCAAAGGGAGTCAACAATCGGGTGGCATTTCGAGCGGCACGGAAACAATGGTGGCTTTGTTGCTGTCGGCTAATTCTGCAGCCAGGCCACCACCTTTCAGCTGTGATAGGAATTTTGAGGTCTTAGATATATGTTAAATGTCCATAATTGTACCAACCAAGCACGTACGTAAGATCAGCACAGGAAGACCGACCTGAAACCATTTTGATTCCCAAACTGAGCAAATGTTTTCTCTGCAAGGTCAAGGGAAAATGGAAAAGCCTCCCCATTGTCTTTTCTTTCACAAATCCTGTCTTAAGGGCACATTTAAGATATGTATAGGGTGGAAGCCTGTAACCTGGCTCAGGAAGAAAGTATTTATCATTATAAAAGACTGGCCAGGCTCCCCAATCAAGTGACCATTAAACAGGTAACCTGGCAGACAGGAGGTAAACAAAGCACTCATATTTCTGCTGTAAACAGCCCTTTCTGTGATGTAGGTATGATGTATGGAAGGGTGGTCTTGAGCTCCAGGGCAGGGAATTTAGATTTTCTATATAAGGCCTTGCGCGCCATTGTTCTGGGTTCCTCCTCCCTCCTTTGCGCATGTGCAGAAGTGCTGAATCGCAACCCGTGCATGCGCAGACACGGGTTGCGAACACTGCAGGTTGTGAACGTGCATCGTGCACAGATCACGTTCACAACCCGAGCGTCCACTGTACCAATCATCCAGATGACAAATTATATAATTTAGGTGGCCTCCCGTGTACTAGAATTGATGGTTTGATTATTTACTTTATTGCTGCGTTCCAAATCTTATTCATCTCAATTAAACTCCAGCCAAAATAACAATCCCTTATACAACAACTGCAATATTGATGACTTCCATTCATATCGACACATTAAATGATTTATAAATCTACAGGCGAAGCATGCAAACTATATCCTTGTTCTTCCTGTGTGTGGCAATTATTCGGTCCGTGATGTTTCTTCCTATCCTTGTAAAATATTATGTCTAGCTATACCGCCTCCAGTATTCAGGTTCGTGCATGAAGATTGCTACATGCTCACCTGCGCACCAGACTATTGGTGATGGATTGGGAGTGCAAGTTCAGGAGGTGGTGGGTTGAAAATGTTTGAGAAACACTGTCCTAGTGAATTTTTGAAAAGGAGACAGAGAGAGTTTCCTACACTGGGCCTCCCTCCTCGGGCCTCCTCTCCCGCTTAGAATAAATTATGCAAAGCACATGCCTGATTTGCATAATGCGGCCGGGCCACTCCAAAGCGCAATTAATAAATAAAAGGATTTGTTTATTTAATCATAACGTTTCCCCGCATGCTTTCCCCTCCAGCCTGGACGTCTAATGAGGTCAACTTCAACCAAAATAATTTCCCAACAACCTTACGCCAAAAACGCATCATAGTGGCTCGTTGAAATCTGATCCATAAAAATAACAATTCCCGCTCGTCGTAGGATGAATTCAGCCTGATTGTAATGATCCCAAACTAAAGTGTTTAAGGTCCAGAGGCCTCATCTGCCTGAGGTCCATTTGGCATGCAAGTAACCAAACAATTTAACCCCTGTGTTGCAAACAATAGTCAGTGATATCCAAGGCAACACGAAGACCAAATACAATGATACGATATCAATATACATTCTTTATATAATAGGAAATATATGAAATCACATAAACAGAAAACTTACGAATGTCTGAAAGTCACAAAATATGCACTCTTAATGGATTCTCTTGAAAACATAAAACCAAATAAACATAAGTCTTATAAGTCTCTGAAAGTCTTTGAAGACTATGCAAGTCTCTGAAAGAAGCAATGGATCAGATTATTATCTGGTGAAAACAGACTGTAAGGCTTTGTTTATGGTGTCCAACACTGCCAAAGTAGTTTGCAAACAGACGTTGTGAACAGTGATTCCGGATATACCCACTGTTTTGTGGAATTCTTCAGCACAGCAGAAGGATACAGAATGCTTCATAAACCCATCTATATGGTGAATGGAAAAGTATAACAACAATTGCTATGGAGCAGTGGTCATAAAGTTAGGTAGTCACTGCTGACTTTCATATTATATTAAGGGTTTTCAATGCAAAGCCCGTTTCCCAACTGCTGTACGCTGCAAATGTCTGGCATAATGGGGACCTGCCAAAGCTAGAAATTTCTACAAAATTCCAGGCAAAAAATTTCTACAAAATTCCAGGCAAAATTTAAACAAAATGTTTGTTTAACCCGGAGGGAGGCTGTATGAATTGTGCATTGCTTTGTAAAGATTTGTTGGGTCTCTGGACCGTAATAAAAGCTTGATTGATTGATATAAAGAGTATATTGATATCGTATCATGACATTTGGCATGCAGAGCTGAGATATCCATATTTCACAGCTCCTGTTCTGAATGACAGCTGTTATGGCAAAGCAGAAGAATAAACTCAATAGGTACCTGCTTATTTTACTGAAATTTACATCCGTCTGTCTTCTCATCAACCTGCAATCAGCAATGTTTGCTTGGGAGAAGGCAAAGTAGGCAAAGCGACTCTCTTTCTCAGAACAAGGAATTGGGCTGCGTCAAAGCGGTTGATTGACACGAAATCCTTCAATGGGGGAAAGGGAGGGAGGGAGCTAAATGCGGTTACTGCTGGCGTTACAAACCACAAGGTCAAGTTGAGCGTTTTTCCTGTCCAAAGCCCAACCATCACTTGGGCTGTGTGTGCATACCATACATTTAAAGCACCTTGTTGTTGTTTAGTCGTTTAGTCGTCTCCAACTCTTCGTGACCCCATGGACCAGAGCATGCCAGGCACTCCTGTCTTCCACTGCCTCCCGCAGTTTGGTCAAACTCATGCTGGTAGCTTTGAGAACACTGTCCCACCATCTCGTCCTCTGTCGTCCCCTTCTCCTTGTGCCCTCCATCTTTCCCAACATCAGGGGCTTTTCCAGGGAGTCTTCTCTTCTCATGAGGTGGCCAAAGTATTGGAGCCTCAGCTTCAGGATCTGTCCTTCCAGTGGCTGTCCTTCCAGGGCTGATTTCCTTAGGAATGGATTGGTTTGATCTTCTTGCAGTCCATGGGACTCTCAAGAGTCTCCTCCAGCACCATAATAAATAAATCAATCTGGAAATTGTAGTTTACCCTTGCGGAAGATGCAGAGTGGCGGGGGTGCTGGCACTTGCCAATGCTTTGCCACTCGGCTCGCGAGTCGTTGGTTTGGGAGTTGCGGGGGGCTGGGGGGCAGGCCAAATGTCGCCCCCTTCAGGACCCAGGGCGGCCTGCCCCCTCCATCCCCCTTCCTCTGCCACTGGGCAGAACCAGCACCCTTAACAAACTACAGCTCCCTGAATTATTTGCAAGGATGTGTGTGCTTTAAATGCATGTTCGTGGGCAGCCTTCTTCTCTAATGCGATGGTGGGAGACACGGCAGTCTGGAGATGGGGAGTGCTTAATGCCAAGGCCCCTTTTCCACTCTAAGGGCTGCATTACCTTCTCAGCGACCTTCGGAGGGCCACATGACAGAGAGACCAGAGGCAAAAGGGAGCAGAGCAGCGGGTGTGAATTACAGCTTTGTAGGATAGGCTTGTTTCTACACCTAGGAACCTCGTACCTACGGGATCGCCTCTCTTGGTATGCCCCGCGGAGGACCTTAAGGTCCACAAATTCCACTGGAGGAATGGCAGATGAAACTGATGGACTATATGGAACTGGCGGAAATGACTGGCAGAATCCGTGACCAGGGAGAAGAGTTGGTGGAGGAAGATTGGAAGAAATTTAAAGACTATCTGCAGAAATATTGCAAAATTAAAGAATGTTAGAGTGATGTTGGATTGAAAATAAGTGGCTTCCAGCTGTACATGATTTAAAGCTATATATAGATCAAGATTAAGGATTAGGATTAAAAAAGTTAAAGGAAATAGAAATTTGGTCTTTAAGAGGTAAAATTTAATGTTATATTATATCAAGATTAAAGATTGGGATTAAAAAAGAGGGAAAGAAATTGCTGGACAAACAATTTGAACTGGAATACAAAAGAGGGAGGTATGAGGAGGTCCAGAAAATAAGTAAATTTAAAAATGGAGATGAAAAGGTGGTATTGTTTTTAACTGTTTTCTTTTTTGTCTTTTGTTTTTTGTTTTTTTTTCTGGATTATGTATTGTGTACTTTTGAATTGTGTATTTCTTTTTTTATTTTAAATTTTTTTATCGATGTGTTCTTTTTATTGGAAACCTTAATAAATATCATTAAAAAAAAAAAATAAGGTCCACAAATGTTTAATGTTTTATTATGTTTTTATATGTTGCTGCACAGAGTGGCTGGGGCAACCCAATCAGATGGGCGGGGTGCAAATAACAACAACAATTCAGTCCAACACCCCTATGTTGCAGGAATATTTTGCCCATATGGGGCCAAACCCATGACCCAGAGATAGGGGACTTATGTTTATTTGGTTCTATGTTTTCAAGAGAATCCATTAAGAGTGCACATTTTGTGACTTTCAGAGATTCAGAAGTTTTCTGTTTATGTGATTTCATATATTTCCTATTATATAAAGAGTGTATATTGATATTGTATCATTGTATTTGGTCTTCATGTTGCCTTGCATATTACTGACTACTGCTAGGGTGGTCAACTGTTTTTTGGGGGGGGGTTTCAGCCCCCTCAAATATTTATGGGGCAGCAAAGGGACTTCTGTCCCTATGAGTTGGCTTCTATGGAGAGAGCAAGACTTGGAAACTGCCCAACAACAGACTGAGGAAGCACACAGACCACCTGTTGCATAAGCTCCAATATTTCTGCGATGAAAATAGGGATGCCCTATTTATTATTATTATTATTATTATTATTATTACCCACCCATCTGACTGGGTTGCCCCAGCCACTGTGGGAGGCTTCCAATATATATAAATACATTTTTTAAAAAATTAAACATTAAAAACTTCCCTATCCTGGGCTACCTTCAGATGCCTTCTAAAGGTTGTATAGTTCCTTATCTCCTTGGCTCGGGGGTCGCCGACGAAAATAGGGGCGTCCTACCATACCCTCCAATATTTCTCCCATGAAAATAGGGATATCCTAAGGAAAAACCGTGTCAAATCAGAAACCGGGATGTCTTCTGTAAATACAGGACTGTCCCTGGAAAATAGGGACACTTGCAGGGTCTGCTGTTGACAGTTTTGTTGCCTCTGTACTGAGATGAACTACATTTCTATCTAGATGATAGTCATTTCCAAATTTGCATTCCAAATTTGTATCTACGCATAAAAAGAATCTGTGTCTTTTTTAAAACCTCTCTTTTTGGGGGGGCGGTTTGGGGACTTGATGTGTGGTCCATAAATGGCCACCTTGGTCCATTTTGGCCTAGTCAGAGGCTACTGAACTGGTTAGGCTGCTGAAATCAGAGCAAAGCTTTCCGCTTATGCAGCAAAACCAGCCTGTTTGCTTTTTCATCTTCCCCCTCTGCATGACAGCTGGCCGGCACCTTCTGGGAGTTAATAATTAAAGTGCAAACTTTCCTCCTGAACCCGGAAAGAGTCATTTAATAGGAAGGGTGAGGAGCAATGAAAGAATTTTTTCTTGCACAATGAAAGAATGTTGTTTGTGCAACTCCCAGAATAGAAAGAGATTTTTTTATTATTATTTGTAGTGTCATGAGTGCTGCGGGGGCAATAAACTGCCATCGAGCATTTATTGGACTGGCAATTTGGGTTAAAAGGGTGATGACAGTGGAATTTCCCCTTGCTTTTGCCTTGGTTACTTGAACGCATCCGGACTTCATCTAAAGTGGATTGTGAACTCTGTTAATCCCCCCTTCCCCATAAATCTCTGTATTTCCCCTAAATCCAGAGATTCCTTATGCTTTGCCAATCCTAATAATAATAATAATAATAATAATAATAATAATTTATACCCCGCCCATCTGGCTGGGCTCCCCCAGCCACTCTGGGCGGCTTCCAACAAAATATTAAAATACAGTAATGCATCAAACATTAAAAGCTTCCCTAAACAGTATGAGAGCTACACTGATTGCACTGGGAATCTCCACATCCCTGCAACATTTCACAATGCAATTTGCTTTTAAAAATCCTGTTAGCGTTTTACTTCGAATTTCCTTCTAACAAAGACACATTTTGGCAAAACCATTTCGCCTAACGCAATGCATCTTTGTATGTCGTTTTCCCTAACATATGTTTTTGATGGATGCGGTTCCCTTATGCATACATTTTTGTTCACATTGTACGGCTGGAGAATTGCAGAAGAAGTTCCAGAGGTGTACGAGTTTTGAAAGAGAGCTGCGCTTCCATTCGCGTTCTGGTTCAAGGAGTATGAATGCAAAGAGAATCAAATTTCTTCCCCATCCCTTTTTTTTTTTTTAAATAATATTTATTAAAATTTCAAAAAAAGAAAAATCACATTAATGAGAAAATTAACAGTAAAAAGGAAAAATACAAAGAAGAAAAAACAGTTAAAAACAATTCCATCTTTTCATCACTTCTTTTACGTTTACTTGTTTCCCGGACCTCCTCATACCTCCCTCTTTTGTATTCCAATTCAATTTGTTAATCCAGCAATTCCTTTCCCTCCTTTTTAATCCTAATCTTTAATCTTGATATATTATAACATTAAATTTTTACATATTAAAAACCAATTTTTCCATATTCTTTTATACCAGTACAGCTAGAAACCACTTAACTTCAATCCAACATCATTCTAACATTCATTAATTTTGCAATATTTCTGTAAATAGTCTTTAAATTTCTTCCAATCTTCTTCCACTGACTCTTCTCCCTAGTCTCGGATTCTGCCAGTCATTTCCGCTAACTCCATGTAGTCCATCAATTTCATCTGCCATTCCTCCAGTGTGGGTAAGTCTTGTGTCTTCCAATGCTTTGCAATAAGTATTCTTGCTGCTGTTGTAGCATACATAAAGAAAGTTCTATCCTTTTTTAACACCGATTGGCCGACTATGCCCAGGAGAAAGGCCTCTGGTTTCTTCACCCATCCCAAAGCCTTTGATTTCTGCTTATTGCATTTGCTTCAACCACATCTGGGTTCCTGTTCCTCTCGCTTTGACGCTCTTGGATGCTAAATCGGCACAAACCTCTTTTTATGTTGCTGGGTCTACAACTTCATTCATTCATTTGGCGAATTTGCCTCCCAAAAAAGCTCCACAACTTTTCTGTCCGGATTTCCACAGCTTAAATTATGGCAACCAGTGCCGGATTTACGTCTAAGCTAAACAAGCTATAGCTTAGGGCCCCACTCTCTTGGGGGGCACCCCCAAAAATTAAAGGGGGAAAAACCTGGATGTACATTTCCAAAATATAAGATAAAAAACAAATAAAATAAAACCTAAATGCAGTAACAGTGTTTTGTGTTGTGTAGGCTCCTATGATGTAAGTCATGGGCCCCGCCTGCTAGCCTGCTCCCTAAAATATCACTGGTTTGCTCATTTCTATATATAGGGTGCCTACATTCTGCATCGACTGGTTGCACAGCAATATGTAGCAATTAGCTGCAGACTGCAGTGTAGCACAGTTGAATGTAGGTCAAGCTGTTGTACCTGTTGTCGCTCCACACAAAGAAAATGGTAGAGTTACGCAGCTGTGAATTCATTCATTCATTCATTCATTCATTTTCTTAGCTATCTTCCCCGGGCAGGTTCCAGCAACAGCATATCCAATGATTTGTTGTTGTTTAGTCGTTTAGTCGTGTCCGACTCTTCGTGACCCCATGGACCAGAGCATGCCTGGCACTCCTGTCTTCCACTGCCTCCCGCAGTTTGGTCAAACTCATGCTGGTAGCTTCAAGAACACTGTCCCACCATCTCGTCCTCTGTCGTCCCCTTCTCCTTGTGCCCTCCATCTTTCCCAACATCAGGGTCTTTTCCAGGGAGTCTTCTCTTCTCATGAGGTGGCCAAAGTCTTGGAGCCTCAGCTTCAGGATCTGGTTGTACCTGTTATCTAATATTAAAGAGTGCTTGTAGACTGATGATCAGGCAGCAGAGACTAAGGGTATGAGTCTTATGCCTACTGACTGATTTCATGTAACAATTACTTTGATAAAATATGTTATGTACTGAAGTTCTCACCCTGGGCCAGCAGGGGGATACTGTAGATAGTTTTCACTCAGGTCCTCATATGCAAATAAGGGATTGAAAGTGACGTTCAGTGATTGGATAGTTACAGAAAGTTGTTACTGTTGTGTTGTACTGGAGCTCTATATAACCAGGCTGGCTGAACCTTTCAGTTCAGTTCTGTTCTGGCCTGTGAATAAGCAAGAGCTGTTTGAAGAATCGCTGTGTCGTCTGATATGTTCACCCACAACTTAACAAAATACATATTTTGTTATGTGAAAATGGCTTTAGATACCTATTAGGTCCATAAATTACCATATGGCATATATTCAACACAAAAAAGAGCGACAATTTGTGGTTGACTAAGGACAGCTGGACATATAAAGGGCCCCATTACCTCCAGTAGATTAGGGCCTCATCAAACCTAATATACGACCCTGATGGCAACCCTAGTATGTGTATTTTAATGAGCTAAATAGAGTGAAAGATTACACGCCACAGGGACATGGACAGTAAGTACATGAACCTAACAGTGCTATGGTTATCTTTTGGCGGCTATTTTGTTCATGTTGCTAATATTTTATCGCAGGATATAAGCGCTGCATTTGGTAATCATCTATTTAGACATTTCCTTTAATTGTGCTGTTTAGCTGATTTGTTCAGTTGCTTTGTGAAAAGTGTTCTATAGATTGCTATTGTTTCAAGGATGGTTTGTTGATTGTTCCGTATGATTTATGCTGTGTTTGTGACGTTCTGTTAGGCCCTATCAGGCTCTTGGTATTTATTGTTTGTAAGCCGCTTCAGGATTCATCCGAATGAAAAGTGGTGTAGAAATATTGTCAAGCAATCATCTTTTACGGCTTTTTTGTATTTGATTTTTATTTGTGGTATTTTTTAGGATGTTGTGTAGCTTTTAGACTTTCTTTGAAATATGGCTGATTAAATAATCAACAATAAACTGTGGTGTGGGTTCACTGTTTGGCTTGTAATTATGTATCTTTGCATTTTTATATTGTACAGCGGTACCTCAGGTTAAGAACTTAATTCGTTCCAGAGGTCCGTTCTTAACCTGAAACTGTTCTTAACCTGAAGCACCACTTTAGCTAATGGGGCCTCCTGCTACCGCTGCGCCGCCATTGTGCAATTTCTGTTCTTAACCCGAAATACTATTTCTGGGTTAGCGGAGTCTGTAACCTGAAGCGTCTGTAACCTGAAGCGTTTGTAACCCGAGGTACCACTGTATACAATCCTGTGCTCCTTATTTTAATCATCATCATCATCTTCCTTGGTGATCGCTCGTAGCCGAGTAAGATTGTCTTCCATGAACACAGTCTTAACAGTGAGTCCGTAAGTGACTGTGGAGGTCGATTCTGGATCCACACATCCTTCCACAGTGGGGACATAAGTTTCCAGGCGGGAGTTTATCACAGTGAGGGTTTGCCAAGCGTGCCTTCCTCTTAGCATGCTTCTCCCTTGTTTCCCGAGTTCGAGGGTCTTCAAAGCCCATTACACCTTTGCTAAAGGCTGTTCTCCAACTGGAGCGCTCGCAGGCCAGCGTTTCCCAGTTGTTGGTGTTTATACTCCATTTTTAAAGATTTGCCTTGAGAGAGTCTTTAAGCCACTTTTCTTGACCACCAGCATTACTCTTCCATTTTTAAGTTTGGAATAAGAATAGGAGTCCATCCATGACTGGCGCACCCTCAACCACCAATGCCGCTCCTTTCTAACCTTCCCTCTTTTGGTTCCCCCCAGGGCTATGGCGAATGCGTCCCTGCTGCTCCTGCTGCGCTCCTTGAACGCGAGCGCCAACGCCTCCGACGCCGACTGCGAGGAGGAAGACCCCTACAGGTGCACCTTCAACGAGGAGTTCAAGTACATCCTCCTGCCCGTCTCCTACAGCCTCGTCTTCGTGGTGGGCCTGTGCCTCAACCTGCTGGCCCTTTACATCTTCCTCTTCCGAATCAAGACCTGGAATGCCTCCACCACCTACATGTTCAACCTGGCTGTGTCGGACACCTTGTACGTGATCTCGCTGCCGCTCCTGGTCTACTACTACGCCAAGAGGAACCACTGGCCCTTCAGCGTGGGCTTGTGCAAGATCGTCCGCTTCCTCTTCTACACCAACCTCTACTGCAGCATCCTCTTCTTGCTCTGCATCAGCATCCATCGTTTCATGGGCATCTGCCTCCCGTTGAAGTCCCTGGAGTGGGGACAAGTCCGCTATGCACGCTGGGTCTCGGCCACCGTCTGGGCGGTCGTCATCGCCTGCCAGTCGCCGGTGCTCTACTTCGTCACAACCAGCCCCCGGTGCGACAAGATCACCTGCCACGACACGTCGGCGAAGGACCTCTTCGGCGACTTCATCATCTACAGCACCGTGATGCTGGTCCTTCTCTTCTGCATCCCCTTCCTGGTCATCATCGTCTGCTACTCCCTGATGGCTCGCCGGTTGCTCCAGCCCACCCGCGGCACCACCCGGATGTCCAGCTCCAAGAAGAAGTCGGTCAAGATGATCGCCATCGTCCTGGCGGTCTTCATCATCTGCTTCTTGCCCTTCCACATCACTCGGACCTTGTACTATTACTTCCGCGACTGGGACCTCAGCTGCGCCACTCTCGACGCCATCAACTTGGCATACAAACTCACCCGGCCCCTGGCTAGCACCAACAGCTGCCTGGACCCTATCTTGTACTTTTTAGCAGGGCAGAAGTTTGTGAAATTTGCTTGCCCCAAAACGCCGGGGCCGGGCGAGAACCAGGCGACCTCGAACACCACCGTCAATTGCCGCTTGCGGGCCAGAGACCAGTTAGCGATGAAAGCGAAAAGCATCGTGTCGTAGGCGCTTGACATTTCCGCCTCCACCCATCTGCAAAGTATTACTTACCTGTGTGTGTCGGTTGGGGAAAGTTCCATGTTGCAGGGAGAAGGGTTTGGTTCTCGACCTGTGAGACGCCGGAAGTGTATTTTCAACCTGTATCTGCAAGAAATGGTTCGAAAAGTGATGGACACGTCACTTTTTCCTTCCCCCGACACTTGTTGTTGTTTTGGAAGCTAGGTACTATATTAAGCGTGTTGTCTAATCTGACAATGGCACAATAGACACTGAGTTGTGTGAATAGGGAATCCTACACAAGGTGTGTAGTGAGAGGCAATGTAGCGTAATGGACGAAGGATTGGGTTTAGACCCACTGAATACATGCAGTGTATCACTTGGAAAAATTCTTTCTAGACTGCACCACTTCAGTTTGCATTGGCTGGGGGTGTGTGTGTCACAAGTCTGAATGCTAAAACATTACTCTTCCACAACCAACGGAACCTACAGAGCTGCTGTATACAGAGTCAGACCACTGGTCTATCTAACCCAGTATCAACAAGTTTTACTGGGGCTGGATCTACATTGATCAGCTAAACCTTTTTTAAAAAAATAATGTTCTATAATGCTGAATAGCAGTTTCCCATTGCTGATAGCTCTCTGCTCTGCAGCGCCCTCTGGGGGTCAAATTTTAATAACGTATTTTAACGTTATAAACGACGTGTGTAGGTCCATCCTGGGATTTCAGGTAGAGAGCTTTCCCCAAGCCTACTTGGAGATGCCAAGGGACCTTTTGAATGGGCTCTATGGTCCTAGAATGAACCTCAGGCATCTAGTTTTCAATACATGGGAAATCTTTTATTTAGGTGAACATTCAGCATTGCACCCGCTCACCCAAACATCTGCCGCTCGAAGCCATACAGTCCAGAAATGGTTTCATCATTTCGTCTACCGTTCGGTCAGACCACAGCTGCCCCCTTCTTTGTTTCCTAGAAAGGGCTCACCGGGTGAGGCAGAGCTGCTATACTAACTTCCCAGCAGATGGCTATATTATTGTTATTAATATTATAGATGCAAGAGTAACCTCAGACCAGCTTCCTGTGAGCCCCACTTACTCCAGGCCAGTCCCAGCCAGCGACAACCCTCATACAGGCAACCATTTAGTTAGACCCCACTCTCAGTATCCTTGAGCAAGCTTTGGCCTCTCATCCTGACGTACCTCGCAGGGTTGTCGTGAGGATAAAATGAGCCCCGCACTTTCTGCCCTGGCTGCTTGTGTTTTCTCTCATTTAAACCCAATGTCTAGATGCTGCCTGCCTTTCTGGGCAAAACCTTCCCATGCTCACCCATGCTTTCCTCCCATAACCTCCAGGCTTGACTACTGTGATGCACTTTACGTGGGGCTGCCCTTGAAGGTAATTTGGGAACCGCCGCTGGCGCAGGATGCTGCTGGCTGTCTCTTTGCAGATTGGTCCGCCTCCCAAGCCCGAGCAAAGGTGCTGGTTTTTAACCTACAAAGCCCTTTGTGGGCCCGAAGGAACACCCCTCCCCGAATCAGCGGCAGGCGAGTGTGCAGCCCTGGTTCCTGTGCCTTCATACTGCAGTGGCTCCAAGAAATTGGACCTGACTCTTTGACACGAGAAAGAGTCCACCCCTGGCTGTCTTCTGCATAACACACTCCCTCTGCGTCCGCCTAAAACTCCACAAAGTCAGCAAGACCCATTTCATCAGGCATTTAATTCTATGATTCTAATTGAATCATTAGTTTCAGTCTGTTTTGCTGTCGTTGATGTCTTTTCGTCTCGTGGTTTTATGATCCTACTGTGTTGTTGTTGGTTTTTTCAATATTGTATGCTGCTTAGAAAGTGGCCTATAGTGAGGTTAAATAAATTTATTATTATTAGCATTAACAAATATAGTGGGGGAAGGTTTTACAGGCGCGGCAGGGAGAGCCCCCCCCATGTAAGACGGATAGCTGGCCATTTTGCACAACTGAGTTTTAGACTAAGCCGGGCGGAGGAGGTTCTGGGTTGCCATCTTATGTCTACTGGCCCTGCTCCTGTGCCCTTCGCACCTTCATGACTGGCAGGGATTTAGCATGAGGAGACTCTTCTCCTGGCATGCAGGTGGAGAAAAATGCCGCTTTCTAAATTCCTGTGGGTTGTGCAACTGCTTAAAAGGCATAGAAGAAACAAAGTTGGCAAGAGCAGTAGGGTGGCAGGAGGGATGGAAATGTGCCCTAAAGCCCTGGACAATTCAGTTGACTGAAAATGTGACTGACGCTTTTTTTTTTTTGCAAAAAAAGAGAAAGAATAAAATCTCAGCTATTTGGGAAACCCAAACGAAGGTGTTGTGGTGGCATCCAAGGGTGAAATCCAGGACACATTCACCTGCATGGAGAAGAGTTGGTGTCCCAGTGGGTACCTTATAACTAGGAGGGATGCGGGTGGCGCTGTGGTCTAAACCACTGAGCCTCTTGGGTTTGCCGATCGGAAAATCAGTGGTTCGAATCAACGCGATGCGGTGAGCTCCCATTGTTCTGCCCCAGCTCCTGCCAACCTAGCAGTTCGAAAGCACGTCAAAGTGCAAGTAGATAAATAGGTATCGCTGCACTGGGAAGGTAAACAGTGTTTCTGTGCACTCTGGTTTCTATCACAGAGTCCCGTTGTGCCAGAAGCGGTTTAGTCCTGCTGGCCACATGACCCGGAAAGCTGTCTGTGGACAAACGCCGGCTCCCTCAGCCTGAAAGCGAGATGAGCACTGCAACCCCATAGTCGCCTTTGACTGGACTTTTTTTTTTAAAATTTATTTAACATAATTATTACAAAAATATAAGCAAAATATTGCAAATACATACATATATATTTCAGATAAGCACATATCTATAAAAAAAGAACAAAAGAGAAAAAAAGAAGAAAAGAAGAAAGAAAAAGAAAAAATAAAGAGGAGAAGAAGAAGAAGAAAAGATGGAAGAATTTCTTCCAAATTTATTCTACAAATATCTCAATAATAAAATTTCATTGATTGACTTCCATCACTTACACTGCACTTCCTATAAAAATTTTAAGCAAGATTGTATCTGTTATTCCGTATTTTCCCCATACAATCTCACACAAATATTCTATAGTCGCCATAGTCACCTGTGACTGGACTTAACTGTCACGGGGTCCTTTACCTTTACATAACTAGAGAAGTGCCGTCTCTGGGTCTTTGGGGGAATGTCTTCACTACACATTTAAACCAATTTACCTGTATTGGCTGCCATCCGAAGAACCCCACGGGACTGCAGTTCTCTGAAGCATCCCTAGAATTCAGGCCGAAGCTTCTGGGAGCCCTCACAAAATGGCAGCCCTTGCAGTGAGTGTTTGGGAAGCCTCTTGTGTAGCTCCCCTTTTAAATGGAACCATTAGGATCAGGGGGTTGGACTAGATGACCCTTGGTGTCCCTTCTGACTCTCCAGTTCTGTGATTCCTTCCTGTAGCCCTCTACTGCTCCAAAGCTCTGCAATGTGTATGTGGGAAAAAAGGGGTGAATACTGCTGTGCCTGTTCTCACTCAACAGGCTTTCGCTGCAGTTGTGGTTTTTTTTTGGGGGGGGGAGGAGAAACCATCACGCAGATCAGGTCTGAAAAGACACGGCAAGATAGCACAGGAAACACAATGCAAAAACTGGACAACATCAGGCATCCATTCTGTGGTTTTTTGGGGGGGATGAACGAATTCCTATGCCCCACAAATAACCCAGAGATGCATTTTAAATAAAAGGACACATTCTACTACTACTACTACTACTACTACTACTACTACTACTAATTTATTATTTATACCCCACCCATCTGGCTGAGTTTCCCTAGCCACTCTGGGCGGCTTCCAATCAAGCGTTAAAAACAATACAGCATCAAGTATTAAAAACTTCCCTGAACAGGGCTGCCTTCAGATGTCTTCTAAATGTCAGGTAGTTGTTTATTTCCTTCACATCTGAAGGGAGGGCGTTCCACAGGGCAGGTACCACCACCGAGAAGGCCCTCTGCCTGGTTCCCAGTAACCTCGCTTCTCACAGTGAGGTAACAGCCAGAAGGCCCTCGGCATTGGATCTCAGTGTCCGGGCTGAATGATGGAGGTGGAGACGTTCCTTCAGGTATACAGGATATAAAAATGTACATTATGTACATTATACTCATGTAAAAACACACTGATTCCTGGACTGTCCGCGGGCCGGATTTAGAAGGCGATTGGGCCGGATCCGGACCCCGGGCCTTAGTTTGCCTACCCATGATCTAGAGCGTCAACTCTATTCCCAGGTAAGCGGGGTTAGCCTTTCAGCCTTTGCCATCTTTCGGGGCCCCTTAAAGAATGTCACCGAAACAAAACCAGCGCAATCGATTAACAGATCAATTTCAGGGGGATACATTTCAAACCGGAGGCACGGCTGGCTATTCCGATCCATTGCAAGGAGGAAACTCGACCGAGCTGTGAATCTGTTCGTAGGAACCCAAGTCCCTTAAAGACCCCCCTGAGGATGTTTTGAACCTTAAAGGCCTCTCTTGTAGGAGAACACTGGCCTCTTCTTAAGCAAAACAACAGATGCTCCTTTTGTTAGTGAGATCGATGGCACAGGGCCTCAAATACGCCATTAGCTGGGTTTGGCGTGGATGCAAACGCCGAGTTCTTCCGCCTAATGCAACGGGGAGAGTTGAGGTTTCAACACATCCTGTCCGGGCTGGAATTTGCTGCGGAGGTGTGTGTGGGAAAATACACCGGGGAGAAAAACTGGCCGTCGCTTTTGCACGGCCCAAACTGAGGTACCCTGGGGAGGTGTCATGCTTTTAAGGCAACGACAGAGGCTGTATCTTACACAGGGACCAAGGAAGGAGGTGGGAACTTGCAGCCCCCACCCAACCCCAAATTGGCCTGTTGGGTCAGGAGGCCGGAGCCTGCCAACCGTCTCCGTAGCAACCGCAGCAGATCGTAACCGGAGCCCCCTGGCCTGCGCCCATCAAGCTTTCTCTCCTCCCATCCGCTGTTGCCGATTGGCTAGCCCGACCCTGCTCCCTCCCCATTGGGTTAATGCCAGGATATATTTCAGAGGTTGTGTTGCTGTTTGTGCAGTCGGGTTTCTCTCCACGGCAACTGTCACCCCAGGCGTGATGGATGCAACTTGCCGAGCTGGAGTTTGCAGATTTTCGCCGCTAATCTCCCTCTGTCTTTTTTAAAGGATCGGCTGTCCTAGGTTGCTCTGTCTCAACAGCTCAGCAGCGATGCAATGCTGTTCAGAGGAGGAGAAGAAACGAACCATTTCCTGGGCGTCTCAATGCCCAGGATTTTATATGTCTTTGGAGAGTGTGTTTTAACAGAGGCAATATATAGGGTGCTATGTTTAGGGAAGCTTTTAATGTTTAATAGGTTATTGTATTTGAGTGTTTTGTTGGAAGCCGCCCAGAGTGGCTGGGGAAACCCAGCCAGATATGTGGGGTATAAAAAATTATTATTATTATTATTATTATTATTATTATTATTCAAGCAAGGCCACATTCGTGCCAGGAATTTAAAGCACTAGATATCACTTTAAACAGTCATGGCTTCCCCCATAGAATCCTGGGAACTGTAGTTTAAGGGTGCTGAGAGGTGTCTAGGAAACCTCCCTAGTCCTCTCAGAGAATTACAGTTTTCAGAATTCCCTGTGAAGAAGAGGCGTTGATTGTTAAGCTAATATGGGGGATTTTCACAGTTACACTCCCCCTTCCCAGCCCCTAAGTTCATTTCTTCCTATTTCCACAGCAGTTAACTTTTTTCTTTTTAAAGTCCCCCTGAAAACACCTCATTTTAATGTAAATTTATCCAAGCAGGCATTTGTTTCAATGCAAGTTTGCCTAATATACACAATTTTGCTACGCAATTTCCCTTCTAATAACGAATTCCTGTAGGTCATCCTCACTAGTACAGTATATGCATTATACGCAACGCAAACCACAACTGAAATTCACACTTTCCTGAATTTTGCAGTGTGCTTCTGCAGCCAGGGAATGTGCACAAGAATGCATGCGCTAGGATAATGTGTGCATAAAAACGCATGCATTAATGAAAATCACTTCCAAAATATCTAATAGTAGGAAAGAACGCACCACGTTGGGGGACATTGCTTTGCAAAAATGTACGTGAGGCAAAATTGCATACAGAAATTAGTCTGTTAGGGGAAATTCACACTGAAATGCTGATGAATTTTCACGAGGGATTTGAAATCAAGCAAGCCGCAAACTCGTGGATATGTAGAGAGCGGAACATAAGATAGGAAAAGTCTGGTAGGCAGGCTGAAACCCTACTTGCCCACAGACTGTCTTGCCAGAGTGGTGCATGCTCTAGTTATCTCCCACTTGGACTACTGAAAAGCGCTCTATGTGGGGCTACCTTTGAAGGTGACCCGGAAACTGCAATTAATCCAGAATGTGGCAGCTAGACTGGTGACTGGGAGTGGCCGCCGGGACCACATAACACCAGTCCTGAAAGATCTTTATTGGCTCCCTGGACGTTTCTGAGCACAATTCAAAGTGTTGGTGCTGGCCTTGAAAGCCCTAAACGGCCTTGGCCCAGTATACCTGAAGGAGCGTCTCCACCCCCATCGTTCTCCCCTTACACTGAGGTCCAGCGCCAAGGGCCTTCTGGCGGTTCCCTCCCTGTGAGAAGCCAAGTTACAGGAACCAGGCAGAGGGCCTTCTTGGTGGTGGCACCTGCCCTGTGGAACACCCTCCCAGCAGATGTCAAGGCAATAAACAACTACTTTACTTTTAAAAGACACCTGAAGGCAGCTCTGTTTAGGGAAGTTTTTAATGTCTGACGCTGTATTGTTTTTGATATTTGGTTGGAAGCCGCCCAGAGTGGCTGGGGAAACCCAGTCAGATGGGCGGGGTATAAATAAATTATTATTATTATTATTATTATTATTACTATTATTAAAAAGTGAGAGACCAAAACAGACAAATTCACTCCCTAGTGTTGTGCCGTATCACATAACAATGTGAGAAAGAGGCCGGCTTGTTCTGCAGTCTGGTCAAGACAATACGCCTCTAAGAATGTCACTCACCTAGAACGTGCAGATGTTTCTCTGCTTACTGCTGCGCTCACTTGGCAAAGCTCCCGGACGCACCTCTCTGGAGCTGACCCAGATTCATCTCTGCCCATAGGGAAGGGCCAGACACCATGTCACAATGTCTGGATGAGACCTAGTTCCATTCCAACTCTGCCTCCAGGGACCTCTGGCAACGTTGAATTTCAGCCCTTTGCCTTCTGACCCAGTTGTCCATTCTGCACCTGAGCAGGCAGACGGCTGGTATTACACCAGATGGATTTACGTCTGGCGCTGTGGTCTAAACCACTGAGCCTCTTGGGCTTGTTGATCGGAAGGTCAGTGGTTCGAATCCCTGCAACGGGGTGAGCTCCCGTTGCTCAGTCCCAGCTCCTGCCCACCTAGCAGTTCGAAAGCACACCAGTGCAAGTAGATAAATAGGTACTGCTCTGGCGGGAAGGTAAACGGTGTTTCCGTGTGCTGCTCTGGTTCGCCAGAAGCAGCTTAGTCATGCTGGCCACATGACCCGGAAGCTGTACGCCGGCTCCCTCGGCCAATAAAGCAAGATGAGCGCCGCAACTCCAGAGTCAGCCACGACTGGACCTAATGGTCAGGGGTCCCTTTACCTTTAAACAAGCTATAGCCACAGTTCTCAACCTGTGGGTCCCCAGATGTTGTTGGACTACAACT